TACCGAATCCTCATTGCAAGCCGTCTGAATGGGGGCGAAGTACCATTGACTCACTTGAATGGCTCAGTCGTTGTTAAAGTTGCGCATGCCATCATATGCCACAGTCCTAAAACCAGCGTACTGGCCGTCGTTGTTAGTGCCTCCAATTTAGACAAAAGTTCAGGCGGATCGCTACCGATTACGTCAATCATAATAATGAGTCAACTTGGTTATTCTGCTGTTCTGCAAGTGTTGCAAAGAAAAAAAAAAACTTAACATCCCACTACACAGTCACTGCATGAAACAAAAAAAAAAAAAACATCAACATGTCCATACCTATTCGACTGTTCGACGGAGACGTCATACTCAACATTGACAGGACCCCTATCACCTTCGATGAAGCCACTTATACTCTTTACAATCGAGCTATTACCAACCCCTCCTCCCTTACAGACGAAGAGCGAAGAATAATCACCCGCCGCCCACCACCAGAAGAGGAGGATGCTCTCTGTCGCAGGCGCTGTGGGCAAAGCCTATCTGAACTTATCAAAAAGGCCATCGAAAATGGAGACTCTTTAAGCTACAAAGAATCTGTAATAATAGCTGCTGGTGTTGACTCTGCCCAGAATGAGAGACTCATACATGAAGCAGCGCGGCTCAGTGCCACCGATCGCGAACTATTGCAGAGAGCCAGGGCCGCAGCTACCACAGAGGAGATGAAACGCGCGCAGGAGAGTGCCCGTAATGTTATGAAAAGATGGGGAAACATCCAGAGCGAGACATCAAAAACCCTGAGCGACGACGATGTCTGGAATATTCGGTTTGCTTTACATGTCCCATGGCAGGAGCATATTCTATCTCAAACCCAGATGGCAATCTGTGGGCTTCTGATTTTCTTCCCAAGAAATATACCCGAGTGGCCGTCATTCAAGGAGCAGATCGACACAGCTGTTTATCATGGATTACATTCTAGGCCACAGGCTATCAATGAGGAGACTATGGCGAAATTTACTCTTCATTATGTGGAGAGTAGTAATATATCTGATGATGGTGATAATAATATTGCTGCTCTTCAATCTCGGTTTCTCTCCATGCGTGATGGAGGCGAGCTCCCCCAGGGCCTGCGATTAGATGCCTTTCTGTATGTGGATGAGGAGGCCATACAATCTCGAGATGCAGCAAGACCATTTATTTGGTTTTTAGAGCCAGGTGAGACGGCAAGACCGCTCAAGGTGCATATTAAACATATTGCGCCGACGTTATTTGCTCGCCTTACACAGCGAGATCTTTCTGCAGCAGAAGCAAGATGTCGGCCGTATCGACATACATCTGAGCTGGAGATGCTTCACAGAGCGGCGGCTTGGTCAAAGGATGCAAACGGGGTGGCAGATGGGATTTGGCCACCTCCTGCTCGCTATATGTGACGTTTTCTGGCTTCTTGCGACGCACGAGAACATTTCCTTTGGTGTGTGGGTTTCTATTACGGAACAGAGGGCAGATATAGAAATATAGTTTTCAGTAACATTATTACAACCCTTCCTTTTGTCCCCCAAGTCTTTAATTTGTTCGCCCTAAGTAGCCTTGAAACAGTCCATCCTCGCACTACACGCCCACGCAAACATAGTAATCCGGCCACAGCTTGCTACAATCATTCCCAACAGCCGGGTTATACTGATAAAACTGGCCCAGAGTGATACCGTATTTCGTCGCAATGTCATAACATCCATCACCGGACTGGACCAGAATAAAACGTCTTACACCCAGAAATTATACCCGTCTGCGTTGGTGCAGGAGTTGTAATCACCGTAGCCGGCCAGAATGTCGAATCACAAACAGCAAGGAAAGCGGTAGCAGTATGGGCCCTGGCAACACAGAATGCAAGCAACGCAAGACAGAAAGACAGGCATTTGTGAAGTCATGAACTCTCACGCATGCATAGGTCCACGGGTGAATACTGTGCACCCCTCGTCGATCAATGGTCGCAGGACGGGCCAACTCCCCAGCAACCCTGTTCTGACCGCATGTTGCGTACCTTTCAAGTGGAGCTTAACTCGCCATTTGCCTATGATGTTGAGTTTGCGAGTTACTATAGCTCTCTGACCTCCTCGTATGTCAACTCCTGCGCCTTGATTTCTACTTCTGACGCTTATACGTACTCTTTTTTTTTTCCTTGCCAGCTGCGCTTGATTGAGATTTCACAGTACTGGTAACCAATCAATTTCAAATGCAGCAAGAATAATCAAAAGAATTCGTAACCATCGGCTCGTCTAATCCTGCGAGGATGAAAACAGAAATCTCAACTCATCATTATAAGCTGATAAACTAATGCAATCAATACAAGATACGAGGCAGCTTGCTATGACATGGTGCGCATTGGAGATATTTCGCGCACAAGCAAAACTGATGTTGTCGAAGGTGGTGAAAGCCTATTTCCCCTAGTCCATGTTATAGCCGTTGCCTCATGGTGATGAGGACGCACGATGATAGACAAGAGTCTCATATCTCGTATCTAGGCTACTAAGTTATCATAGTATATAGTATACATCCTGGAAAATCTACTAGTCTTTCGGAAACCCCAACAGATTCACCGAAGATCCCTTCTTCGACTTCTTCAACTCCCTCTCCAGTCCCATCAGCTGGTGCACTGCCATCTGTGCTCCTCGCACCATATAGTCAAAGGTGACCGCCTCCTCGGGGATGTCTACAAAATGCCCGATGAGCGCCATGTTGGTCATTCCTGGGGGAACCACCTTTGGCCGATCCCCGTTACTCCTCGGCAGTAAGACGGACGTCCATCGCGGCAACGCACTTGGAACGGTGATTGTCTGAGGCAGGATGTCGACGACTGGAAGATCAAGCTGCTGCAGAACCTCGGTCATTATCTCCTCGCCTGAGCAGGACAGCATCTGTTTCTTGACGAAATCCCCTTCGTCCTCTGGGTTAAGCGCATAACCCCAGAATACTCGAACCCCGTCCGGTTGATCGGGGAACAGCGGTTGCCGGGGCAGACTCAGCGTAAGTAGCCAGCTGCTATCTTTCAGCGTGACCAGAGAGCCCGTCTCAGGATCATCCCCGATGATCTCGAAAATCTTCTCGAAGATAGCCGGATTCTTGACTGTGACGGTAAAGTATCCCACGCGGGACTCGCGCAGTCGCGTGCAAAAGTTGTATGCGTTGCCGAACTTGGGATGCTTGGTCGCGAGTTCCAGCCACAACAGCCAGTTTTCGTCGAGGTCTTTCTCGATCTCCATCATCTCCAGCGAAGGTGCCTCCGTGTTCGATCCGTGGGAAGCGCCGGACAAGATGGATCCACAAGAGACAATCATTATATCGTTCGGGCCGAGATCAATGGTCACTTCACGCTCGTCCTTACGCGCCGTCCGCAGGGCTGTCACGCGAGTAGGATCCTGTGCTGGCTCGACGATGATATCAGTCGTGATGGTGTTGAAGCGAAAATCTACCCCCTCTGCCTGCAGGAAGCGAGCAATCGGGGCGACAACGGCGTCATGCAAGTTGAAGCGGAGACGGTCCAGGGGACGAAGGTGATGCGTCTGGATATCGTGAGGGAAATGCTGGATGAAGCGGCGGAACTCGGCCGCGCTGTGACATGGCCGGAAACCGAACCTAATCCTGTTAATATCATGACGTTTGAGTGCAACGACAACCTACAGCGTCGCCAGCACCAACCAGTAGTCCGTCCTGAAGAACCCTTCGGAGAAATGCTCTCGGATGCGGGACCGGCCCAACGCACTCTCCGCCCTAGATGACAGCCGGAACAGATCCATCCTATCCTTGATCCCCAGATGGAGTCTCCGCCCTTCAATACGCTGCAGTCCATTCTTCCGCCGAGCCAGGAACCTCGTCCGCGGCGCCCGCTTCGGTACATGTTCTTCAAAGTACTCCTGGATATCATCCCAGACGCTTTTCCCGGGCCTCTCCGACGGCACCAGCGCGAGTAATTCCTCCATCTGGCTCCCGCAGAACTGAGGGGTACATCCCGCACGAAAGACGTAGCCCGACTCGGCATCCCCTTTACCCACGGATCCCGCGCCTGGTTCGCTCAGCGCTTCGATGATGTGGATCCTCGACGGAGGCACCTTGGCCTCTTTGATGAGGTGTACGGCCGCGGTTAACGCGGCAGTTCCACTCCCAAGAATATAGGCATCGAGGGAATCAGGTTCGCGAAAGACCGGACTCGGGACTGGGGTGGATGGGCGCGAGCTGAACAGGGACGCGGCTCGTGACGATGGACGGGACATTTTATGGTATCAAATTAATGCGATAGGGTCAAGGGCATTTGAATTGATCAGTTGGCCATCCGTTTTGTGTTGTACGATTTGAGTTATACTGTGGCCTGACTGGTGTCGTCATACCACGATTGTGGAGCTGTGTCCGAATGCGGAAGTCAAATGCCACCAATGCAACCACTCATGCTGCTGCTGCAGATTATCTCATTAATATTACCATAAGTAGTTAGAGTCCTGATAGTGGATAGGTAGCTAAGTAAGGGGTTGTTGGTGCTTGGTGCCGAGCGCTTGTACGTAGCTACATCAATATAGGGTTGAGTCCTACATAGCACGACTTGGAGCAATTCAACGCAGACAAAGTCTAACTTAAACAGAGTAAACTAAACTATCCATAGACAGACTACAAATTCCACCTTAGAGAATTGCTCTATATTACTATTTCCAACATCTACCCGATTGTCTTACTGCCGATCTCTCGTCTCCACGGCCTAGTGCACCTTAAATACGATCTACAGCGGATCGCCATTGGTCCAACTTTCATCCTTGTGCCACTTGACCATGTAGGGTCTCGTATAGCTTCTTAGTGTCCGTCCTAGTTGATCTCTAGAGCCAATCAGCCGAGTGTTGGCATGCAAAAAGGCTGAACGTCTATCATGGCTGCAATTAGATCGCTGAGGCTCAACCGCCTATAAACAGGACCCCTAACTCCTTTTCCTTTCCAGTCTCCACAAAAATTTCTCTTCTGCTCTTCAGGGACGATCTCTTGCAGCCAAAATGAAGCCATCGTCCATACTCTTGTTCGTTTCTGGGGCATTCGCCCTTAATCCAGTCCTCCCTGTCCGTATTCCCAACAACACACTCGTCTCCGAACCCACAACAGACATCGTATCCGATCCCCTGGCCAAACGCTGGACCTGCCCATCGACCTGCTCCACCAATATCTGCTGCGAAAATGGGTTGTGCGTCTGGTCCCTCAGCAACGTCTGCTGCGGAAGCTACTTCTGCAACTCTGGCGAGCACTGCTGCGGAACGGGGTGCATGCCCAACGGCGCGGAGTGCTGTGGCGTACAGGGGTACTGTCCATTGGGAGAGCGATGCATGACCGTCAACGGGAAACTGGGCTGCTGTCCCAATGGGAATTGCGCGCAGCATAACACGATAAATTATTACACGCAGACGGAGAATCACTACACCACGGCCTACCACACGACGACCTATACCGGGGTGGAGTGGACTTGGTATTCGTGGACAGTGACATGGTATGACTTTTTTGTGGTTTGAAAATATAGGGAGATGACTGATGGGAATAGGACATACTGGGTCACGTTTTACACGTACTACGCCCCTGTGACGGCTTCGATTCGCACGTCGACTGTCACGACGACGTCGACGATTGTTTCGGTGCAAGCGACGGCCGGGTCGGACGCTTCGTCCTCGTTCACGCGGCTCTCGGCTACGATGAGCTTCTATACGCCTGCTAGTGCGACGAACCCAGTAACCCCGACGAACGTTGCGACGGCCAGCAGCTTTCCGACTTTCGTTTCGGGGGGTGATGGTAGCAGTAGTAGTAGTAACAGCAACGGTGGCAGTGGCGGTAACGGGGGTGGTGCCATTTCGGTCAATGGAGTCACGGGAGGTACTGGAGGTAAACCTAATGCTGCAAATGCAAACCGCAGACTTGGATGGGAGACTGTGTTGTCTCTGTCCATCGTGGTGGGAACCGGACTTCTGATGATATGTCTCTGAGAAATGTTGCATTGATAACGAACTATACACGTCTAATACTATAGCTTAATGAACGGCGACTTGCCTGTCCTCTGCACCCTCAACTTCTCCTTGATCTCCTCCAGGGTCTTCCGTCCTTTGCCCTCGAAATACTTGGGCCCAACATCCGGCGTGTAGTATCCCCGGGGATAGTACTTGTCGCCGTCGTCCCCAGGCAACGGCAATCCCATCAGCCACTGCACCCACGCCGACGGACCCCATCGGTTCCACAGAGTCGGCTGCACATAGTACGGCATCCCGTCCCACACCTGCACATGGTGTCGACCGTACTCATTCGGCTTTTCCGTAAACACATCACGGCGCATAAAGTACGGCCGCGGGAGTGCAAGATACCGCAGGCAGAATCGACGAATCGCCACCCCAGCGTCGACTATGGCCTTGATCACCCGCGGCGGCGGATCATACCTACCAGCATCAGCATCATCAGTTAACCCTAAGCAGAAAGAAGACCAACATCATAGCCTCCCTCAACCTCTCATCCATAACACAAGTCGCAACACTCACCCCAACCCCCCTCACCCACCCCGGCATCCCATAAACCAACACATCCATCGTCTTCTCTGCCACCTCCCGATTCGCCGGCGCTGCCTTCATCCTCTCTTCCTCATACTGCCGACTCCACTCCCCCATCTCCTCCAACCACTGCAATCCATCCCGGAACCCATCCACCCCACCAGGCAACACCGCATAGCTAATCCCCAACGCATCCCCAACACTCTTCCAGTACGTACCTACCGCGCATTTCTCCAGCGCGCTCAACCCCCGCCACTCGTACCGCTCCACGAACCGCACCGGCTCGAGCGCAAACAGGCTAAGCGTATACAGCATGTCAGCCTCGCGGATCTTCCCACTGGCGCGGTAACCCGCGTGCAGGAGCTTTGTGCGCGCGAGCGCGGTGATCGCCCTATCGGAGGTGGGCTCGAAGCCCATGAACTCGCCGATTAGGACGCCGGTGTCGGCGTAGCGTTTGAAGCTGGTTGTGGGGTTGGAGAATTGGGAGGTTTGCAGGAGGAGGGTGGAGATGCTGGGGATGCCGTATGTCTGGACTTCGTTAGTATTAGAACTATATGAGGTGAGGGGGGAGTAGGGGTAGGGTACGCGGAAGAGAGCAAACTGGAGGGCTTTCAGCGCTGTGAATGGAAACTCGAGCTGGAGCATATGTTTCTGGATGGCCCAGGCGTCGTGGTCGGTCATGCTGGCCATGGATTCCCGGGTTGAGTACTTGCGGTATTTCGTTCTGATGCTGCGGAGGCGTTGGAAGCGGAGGGATAGGGTGATGGCGAGGTAGGCTGCAAGGCATGCTGCGGTGTAGAGCCAGGGGTGTTGGGTGTATTGGTTGATGATATGGGTACTTTGGTGCTGAATCGCTTGAAGTGTGAGCTGTAGTTTATCCATGATGATGGATGATGGTTTGTGATGCTCAAGCTGATCTACCCTGCTCATGAGAGCTAGCTGACTTTATACATGCTGTATCAGCACATGCACATGTCGATTCAATCTAGTCTATCTGACCCGGCTTCATTCGGATACGGTCCAAAATTATCATGTCATGTTTCTGACGTCTTAGAGTATCTCAACCCTCTCAGGTTGAAGCAAAGTCCAGTTTCGTAGTATCTTCATATGACGATGATCACTGCCACAGCGTGGCAGACCGAGGATAGATTGCGGGGTAGTGCAGATCATCGTTCTTGTGTTCATTAGAATTGGATATTTATGATTGATGAACAGTTATGACTAGAATCGGATACCCATTACCCAGGTACCGAGGCTGGGTCTCATCCGGCAGATGCAGAAGCCAGACTTCAGACTCGGATCGAAGGCTCCGACAACGTATGACTGAACCAAGTACACCGGACATAGATGATCGACACTGGGTATCTAAATCTCATATCTAAATTGGTTCATTTGGTGTCAGATGAACAGGCATCACGAATGTGACTGCCATAAGGCTGGTGGGTACGTGCGGGGTAGAATAGTCGAATATCTGGGGAATTGATGATCACCTGTCGGACACTGCATGCGCGCGGCTTGCACGGAGTATTTCCCCTTGCACATTGTCAACGGGTATGCCAATCGCTGCCATTCAATATTGTTGAGCAAGGAAGTATTTTCCTCCCCATGTGGCACAGGGAGGCACCCTTGATGGACTTGATGCTCGAGGTGAGATCTGAGTATACAGTCAAAGACAAAGACTGGGAAGAAGAAGTATGGCAGTCTTGATATCGAAATCATACCGTGTCTGCAGAGTCACCTTATCATAATCAACATCGACTATGACAGTCCAGCTGCCACATCTTGCACTCTGTATTATTGAGTAGATGTGTTCTATGAGATTCCAGTTATATCATTACATACGCCTGACCAAACATAACCAGGCAAGATGGCCGAGTTGGTCTAAGGCGTGAGGTTAAGGTCCACCTTAATATCAAACTCTGAGAGTTTCCTCATCATCGTATGATGGCGTGGGTTCGAATCCCACTCTTGTCATTTAATTCTTTCTTTTTTCGTTTATCTTTTTAATACGATCTATCTGGAGCCACTCCTTGGTTTTTGATTTTATCAATTTAGTCCCTAGACAGGTTTTAGACCAAGGCTGGACCTGAGCCTAGATTTTATTGTCTATGCAGGGGTATGTGCTGCCTAACTCGGACGATGATCTTTTGATATGTGTGCGTAGATGGTTCATTACACTAGGATTAATGCTTCATGTATATCTATAAGTACAGCTATTTACTTCTCTTCCTGTGGCTCCTTTTTCAGGATACTCTTGACCAGGTAAATCACACTCACGGCCACTCCCAGCCCTCCTAGTCCGATTCCCATGTACAACGCCCCGCGATATCCCAGCAACCTATCATGGAACGTCTTTCCGCCATGGTTGACATGTACCTCGACCGTTCCCGCAAACCCCAGTCCCAGCGAGATACTATAGTTCACCACCGTCGTGACCAAGGAAGCTGCAATGCCCTGATGCCGGCGCTCCACCGCATTCGACAGCAGCACCGTGCTCGCGGGAAACGACATGTCCATGCCCCACGGCATGACCACCAGGGAAACAAAGGTCAGCGCCCAGTACGTCTGATGCACCGGCGCAATCGCGACAAAGATATTCCCCAGCGTGAACGCCATCATGGCCATCAACATGATCCACCCCGGCCGGATCCGACTCATCAAATACCCTGTCGTGACCGAAGCCAGCAGCCCCGAGATTCCCGGAGGCAAGAACTGCGCCGCCGCAAGCAAGGGCGTCTCGCCGCGGATATGCTCCAGGAACAACCAGAGGTAGTACGTCCAGATGCCGAAGCTGGCCCAGCCGCAGGCGACGCAGCCCAGCACGAAGGAGACATCCAGCGTCAACGCGTGGAACGGAATGAGCGGCTTGCTCGCGATGCGCAGCTCCCACATAAAGAAGAGGCCTAGCAGAACCGCCCCGATAATCAGCAGGACGTACACATACGGCGTCGGCCAGCCGACGATAGGTGCCTGGTTCCACGCCACATTCACAAGGACCAGGCCCCCGACACCCAGACACGCCCCCATGACGTCCAGCTCCTGCATCCACTCGAGCAGATTCATGCTGTGCTTCTCGCGCTCGTGGTGGATGCGCGGGATCACGGCCCACCCCAGCGCCGCCAGGACCAGGCAAACAATCGCATTCGCCCAGAACGTCCACGGCCACCAGGCCAGCTGGCTGAAGAGCGCGGCGAAGACGGCCCCAATGATGGCGCCGTTTGGGGCCGTCGCGCCGAAGATCGCAAAGATCATGTCCTTCTTTGGACTGGGGCGGTACGTCGCTCCTAGAATCGCCAGGCCGTTCGGGAGGAGCATCGCGGGCCCGAGGCCCTGCAAGGCTCGCGCGAAGATGAACAACACGTAGTTGCTGTAGACGCTGACGCCGGCGACCATGGACCACAGGGCGAACCAGACGAAGCCGATCACGAACATGGTGTGGTAGCCAAAGCAGTCGCCGCAGCGGCCGAAGAAGAGGATGAAGGTTCCCACCGTCAGGGAGTAGCCCGCGATGAACCAGCTGAGGATGCCGTTGTCGGTGATGTGGAAGGAGTCCCCGATGATGGTCAGTGGGGCCAGTTGGCTACCCAGTCCAGCCTGGGTCATGAATTGGGCCATGCATATCACGAAGATGAAGACAATCTCCCGCAGTGGGGAGAGGGTTTCGCCGATGGACCAGCCCGATCGCGTTTGCTGCAGATCTAGGCCGTCCTCCACCTCGGTGTCACTCATTTTTGATTATGGGTTTGAGTAGCGCTTCATTGCATTGATGATGGAAAAAATGGGAGCCTCATCTTATCTATTATTGATAAGAATTTGCTGTATGCATATGCGGAAAAATGATGATGTGATGGATAATCAGTGGAGATTTATAATCCGCAATTCCGTATCTCCGTGATGATGCGTAATCACCACAGCGGGGAATTTCCGCGATCACATTTTTGCATCTATCACCGTCTGTACTTAGTTGAAGATGAGCTACTGCTCAATCCTTTCCATCTTCTCCTTGGCCAACTGAATCACCCACTTTGTCTCGTCATCGACCTGGATTTTCTCACTGATCTCCCCAAACCGCTGCTTCCAGAACTGCCACCGCTCCAAGCACAGCTGCCCCTGTCCGCGATACAATGTCCCAGGCTTCATCAAGCGCTCCCTCTCCTCGTCTTGCACCCCGTCTGCCAGTTGACTGAACAAGACCTCACCACCATACACCATCCACATCGCTGCCGCGGCACCTTCCCCCTCGAGTTCCGTGTCCGACAGCTCCTCTTCCAATCCCGACCGCAGACTCCAGACGCCAAGGAGAGAAAGGGATGGGTCGCATTTGCTCATCAGCCGCGCGGTGAAGGCTTGTAGGTTAATCCATTCGGTTATTTCTTGGTCGTCGGATTTTGTATATGTGGGTGCTTGGACAGTTAGTCATGCAGCACCATTATCAGAGAGGGCTACGTACGATTCCAGGATTCTCTCAGGCTTGGTCCGAGGATGGGCAGGTCGTTCCATAGGCGAGTTTCGGACTGCACTGTCAGAATATTTTGCTCCAGAGGAAGAAGACACTTACACCCCAGATTGACACCGTTGTTGGCGGTAATTCGGTCAGAGCGTAGATCAAGTCGACCAGTCGGTCTTGCGAGGGATGATTGCCATTGATCTGTTTGGCAATTTCGATGATAGTTCCCCATGTGGACCAGAGGAAGTCCTCCAGATCGGGATTCTCTTCTTGTGTTGAACCCGCCTTTGGAGTCAAATCGTGGATAGCCTGCGCGGCCTCGCTGGGAGGGGTTGTGCTAGAGGGCTGAAGATAGTCATTGAGGATGTTGAAGATATGCTGCTCAATGGAACTGGGTTCAGCTCGATATTCGAGTGAGAGAGACGCCATGATGAGTGCTGTACAATTGATCTGGTTTCTTTTCTAGAAAGAAAGAGGTCGTGAAGCCAGATAGATAAATACTTAGGAATCAAGTTATCAACGATAGCGGCGGGGTAAATCAACAGGCTACAGCAGCAAGCAATCCACCAAGCACAATGCGCGTTTCAGCCACGAGTGTCCATCTTTTTCTTCTTTCGTTACTTACCACCGCCAACGTATAATGTCCGACGGTGTTCCTGATTCCTCTACCTCTTTATCAGTAATGTGTTATCATCTACTCCATACTATAAGCGATAACACATGCAATGACGAAATCTCCCCGCACACAACGTCCTCCCCGCATCGACCTCTCCTGTCACCGTAACAGACACAACGCAACACTCAATTGAACAGCAAGTACCAAGGTAGATACAGAAATGTCCGAAGCACCTGTAGTAACCCTCCTCAAATCCCTCATCCAGGTCCCCAGCACCAGCGATCACGAACAAGACATCGCCCGCTGGCTCGACAACCACCTTTCCGCCCTTGGCTACACCGTCGAACGCATCCCCATCGCCCCAGGCTCAACCCGTGAAAATGTCTACGCGTACCTAGGCTCTTCGCGAAGGGTGCGAGCCTGTCTCTCCGCGCACATGGACACCGTCCCGCCGCATATCCCGCTGCGCATTGAAGGTTCGACCATCTACGGCCGCGGCGCATGCGACGATAAGGGTCCCATGGCTGCGCAGATCTGTGCGCTCGAGGAGCTGCGTGCGGAGGGAGCCGTCAAGGAGGGCGATGTCGGTTTGTTGTTTGTCGTGGGCGAGGAGAAGGGAGGTCCTGGGATGATTGCGGCGAACGATCACGATTTGAAGTTCGAGGGCGTGGTGTTTGGGGAGCCGACCGAGGGCAAATTGGTTGTTGGGCATAAGGGACACTTGGTGTTTGAGTTGATTGGCGAGGGGAAGGCTTGGTAGGTCCGTTTTGAAATATATCTACTGAGGCTAATGATTTCAGTCATTCGGGATACCCCCATCATGGCATCAACGCCAATACCGCTCTGGTCGAAGTCCTGGATGAGTTCTTGTGTACTAAATTCCCCGAGTCGTCGTTGCTGGGTCCGTCGACATTCAACATCGGCAAGATTGAAGGCGGCGTCAGCTATAATATCGTCCCGGCTTCCAGCACAGCACTATGCGCCGTCCGTGTGGCGACAGATATGGCCGAGTGCAAGAGAATTGTATCGGAGGTTGTTGCGAAGCATCCACATGTCAGATTGGAATTCAAGTTTGAGTATCCAGAGACGTTGCTTGATCATGATGTTGAAGGTTGTCAACCATACCTTTCTCCGAATCCTACTAACGAATTACCAGGGTTCGAAACAGCACCAGTGTCATACGGAACAGATGTCCCTCGATTCAAGGGAGATCATAAAAAGTATCTATACGGGCCTGGATCGATTCTCGTGGCCCATGGAGAGAACGAGCAGATTGAAATAGACGAGCTGCTGGAGGGTGTCAGGGCGTATAAAAAGTTAACCACTCACTTATTGAAGGCTTGATCAAGTCTATTGTCGCATTTCTCGGTATCTCCTATGCAGATAGTACTATCATCTTACGTGCCTGACTGGTCACCTTGTGGCCTCGTTGTCGCCTTTGCTGAAAAGTTGGGTCTCTTGCTGAAATATATATGTCGGTTGCCGGGTAATGTAAATCGGAAGACCACCACAACGCAACATCAAGAAGCAATTGGCACTACTATTATCCTAAGATTCATGTCAATAAAGCACTAGTTTTCCTCTAGACAAAAATCACTGGCACGAACTGACATAACACAGTTTGACCAACACATTGGATAGAAATTGCTTGTCTAGCAAAAAAGAAACGCAAAATCAATAAGTCGGGTGCTGTGGTCTAGTGGTAGGACGTCACGTTGTGGCCGTGCCAGCCCCGGTTCGATTCCGGGCAGCGCCAATGCTGATATCTTTTTCTACTTTTTTTTATACTCCTCCCCTTCAGGGAAATGCGATGGCCCCATCTAAGTGGATTATGTCGTGTAGATGCGGTCGGACCAGGAGTCACTCAGCGCCTTACACCGAAACTCTAATATCTGGATAAAAACACCTCCTCATCTAACACGGCTCTGTGCATTGGTCCTATACGAGAATGGGGGCCCTGCCGGAGGAACGAACACAGTATATTTGATCAAATATGTGAAACACATTGTTATGCTACTAGTCCGACCCCGTTACCAATGGCCGTCTAGACACCATTTTAGTTAAGTGGTCTGACAGAAACCTCCTCGTGCTTAGATGCCGCGCCGTAGTTGCTTTCATAAAATCAGATGAGGTATTTTCTATTGGCAGTTGAATTAGTAACTAAGTTTTGTCGTGCTTATGCGTAGCTTATATATCAGTGTCAGACTATTAGTGCTTATTTTGGATTATATCAGGGGACACAGCAAAGGTAATTCGCATGCATAATCTAACATTCTAGGCCCCATACAATTCATTTATAAGCACTTGGTAAGCACTTTCTGGGAAGTTCCGCAGTGGGGCATGATGGAGCCTCTTATGTTAGTAATGGTGGTTCTCCGTATATCCGCTTACCCTTAAGAAAACTATGCACGTGCGTTCTAATTGGCCCCTGATAACGGAAATCCAGAGGACGGATTTCGGATCGACAATTTTTGTCCATTCTCCGTTGATGCGACCCTGGAGTATCCACAGCTAGAAGTCTGTAGAAAAACGATGGCGCCATGCGTGGTGGGGGATATAAATACACGTCCCCTCTACAGACAAAGAAGAAGTCAATAACGATCTATCAGTCTTCAACATCACCTCTATACCAAACCCTAGAATCGCATATACAGACAAAATGGGCTCGACTCAACCCGAATTCAAGAACCCCGCCACCACCACTCTTCTGGAGCTGGTCAAGGCCCGGCGCACATACTACGGCCTCAAGGCCGAGAGCCCCATCTCGGACGAGGCCATTGAGAGCATCGTCCAGGATGCCGTCCTGCACGTCCCCAGCTCCTTCAACACTCAGACCTCCCGTGTGGTCCTCCTGCTCAAGGAGGAGCACCAGAAGCTCTGGGACATTGCCATCAACATCATGGAGAGCCTCGTGGCTGCCGGCAAGGTCCCCAAGGAGATGTTTGAGACCCACACCAAGCCCAAGCTGAACGCCTTCCGCGCCGCCTACGGAACTGTACGTTGATTTCCGCCCTTGATGATGGTCCGTACTGACGGTCTAGGTCCTCTTCTTCGTCGACTACGACTCTCTCGCTGCTATCAAGGAGAAGTTTGCCATCTACGCTGACAAATTCGATCCTTTTGCTCTCGAGTCTAATGCCATGTCGCAGTACCTCGGTAGGTTTTCTTGCCATTTTAAAGAGGTAGCATGTAACTAACACAGAATAGTCTGGACCGCCCTTTGCTCCGAAGGCTTCGGTGCCAACCTCCAGCACTACAGCCCTCTGATTGATGAGCAGGTGCAGAAGACCTGGAACATCCCTGCCTCGTGGAAGCTGGATGCCCAGCTCGTCTTTGGTACTCCMGCCAGCGAGCCTAGCGAGAAGACCTTCCAGCCCATTGAGGACCGCTACAAGGTTTTCGGAAAGTAGACGAGTTATGTTGAACTAGATGCATATAGATATCCATAGCGTTGAATTCATGACTTTCGAGTTCGTTCATCTAAGACAAGGTCATATTGAAGCAGTTCTTCTTAGCATATACAGAACCAATCCAAAGAATGCAATCGACTAGACCTCTCTATATCCCGTCAACGGAATATCAGCTGCATCCTCCATCTGCCCACACATCTGACTCGCTTTAGTCGCCTTCTGAGCCCTCCGCACCAATCTCCCCGGATGCCAAACAACCAATACCCCAATGGAACAGGCCATCAACGCCGCATCAAAAACATATATATACACCTCCTCCGAGTTCAAAGGCGACCCCTTGTCCGACCCAAACTGAATCGTCCTCACTAAGTTCCTCAGCATCAACATCCCACACGAGATATAAATCGCCCACATGTACTTCTTCCACCCCAACCGCGGACACTCCCTCACCACAGCCGTCGGCTCCGCATCGAGCCTCCGATGAAAAGCACCCGCCACCCAGACAAACACCCCAAACACCACCAGCGCAAAGACCAACCCCACCAGAACGACCTTCTTGCCAACCTCCATGACATCCGCATCGCCGGTAACCTGAACCCCTGCACCAGCAATCTGCGTCAGGAAGCAGATGACGTCGTTGAGGACAAAAATAGTTGTTAGCCACTTTGTGCGGATGCTGGAGTGGTGCTCTGCGTTGAAGGCGCGGATGATCCGCCCGAGGACCATGTAGATGGTCGCGGCGACGAAGGGGGGTGCGCAGAGGATGAGCATCTCCTGCAGAGCCCAGGAGCCGATTGCGGTTCTGCTTTGGTGGGACCATGCTCGGCCATAATAGCCGCCGGTTTCGCCTGGAGGTAGTAATGGTTAGTATCTCATTTGGCATTGTGGGATGGGAACGGGGTGGACGAACAGATTCCGCCTAGAATGAGTGGGATGAAGTAGGCTGCGTGATAAGGGAACATGAGGATGATGTGTACGACAGTTGCGATGCCGAAGATGGCCATAAATGCGTATCCGGCTGTGTCGGAGGGGGTGTAGGGGTAGAATTCGACCCAGGGCGAGGAGCCATTCGTCCCGTTGTGGAATGTAAAGTCCATTATGGCTTGATTGTGAGAATTGAAGTGAAATTGAAGTTAATCAGGAGAAACGGGTGCGAAGACCATGATGGTCTCATATACTCTGCTGCTGTCTATGGATGTAGATCAAGATTACCCTTTTGGGAAATTCTTGAACGAGTACGAGTGGGTCTTTTGAAGCTTGTCCTGAAACTTTCAATGGACTCCCAAACAGCCACAGATCACCTAAATTTAGCAAGCATTGCTTGTAGCCTGGTCATGGTATGCTCTTGTACTGTCAGTGGTTGGGAGACTAATTGGCTATCTCTTCACGCAGCTTCTGGTTGATGGCAGTCTCCACGACTTTGCTGTTGCTCTTCATTTCTCATGCAGACCAATTGGTCTTCAATCATGTAACGGCTGCGAAACGGATTATGTCTTGGTTAATTTGAGAATATCTATCATATTTGTATGTAATTTCAAAGAATGGTCAGCAAGTCCAAGGTTATTAATATTCTGGAACATGTATTACTAAATGGCATAGCATTCCGTCCACAGCGTTAGTGGTGTAGCGGTTAGCATTATTGCCTTCCAAGCAATAGATCTGGGTTCGACTCCCAGCTAACGCATTATCTTTTCTTTTTCTTTTTTCTTTTTGCCCCCTTTTTATCCTTATTGACCAGCAACAGTTTAACCTACGGAAATCTAACTGTCATGGTTGTAAGTGTGTCCAGACCTAATTTATGGTCTACTGCTGTTCCATTATCGGCAAAATCCCGGCTTTGTCGTCCATCCCGGCTAATTTTTCTGCTGCCTAAAGGGGCCAAAGTTAAAACGAATACGAACTAATCCATCGCATCCTTCTTTCTCACCACCTGCAGGATGGAAACTGAGCAAAGCCGTCGGATTCGCGCGCGTAGAACACATCAGAAATCCCGGTTGGGATGTAAGACCTGTAAAAAGCGACGAGTCAAAGTGAGTGACGACTTTTCTTCAATCTGCCACAGTGGTATCAATTGAACTCAGCTGTACCCAGCTTTTACCTCTGGGGTATAACTATGGCCAAAAAACTGACATGCAAGCAGTGCGATGAGAAAAAGCCGACCTGCACCAATTGTCGCCAGCATGCAGTCATCTGTGATTATGCCACTGAAACAGCTGCACCATCCCGACCACCGCGCCGACAATATCGCTTCAGACCGTCCAGATACGAAATCCAGATAGACCCGTCAAGTACCACGGACACCAGCATACAGTCACCCAGTCCAGGACCGACTCCCCCTCCACCTCTAGAGAGCATCTCCCTGGCAGACCTGCAACTCTTCCACCACTTTGTCACCTCAACCGCCAGAACCGTGACAGAAGGACAAGACCGCAAACACCTATGGGACATCCACGTCCCGCAATGGGGCTTTGCCTTCCCGTCTATCCTGCATCTCATCCTCGCGCTCTCCGCCCTCCACCTGGCGCACCAGCAGCCGGCCATGCGCGCCCAGTACCTGAAACAAGCAGACGACCACTTCACCTTCGGCGTCCGCTCCGTGACCACCGTGCTCTCCAACCTGAACGAGAACAACTGCCAGTACATCTACATCTCGGCCGTGCTGATCTGCCTCGTGTACTTCGGGCATGGCCCGCGCGCAGGCGAGTTCCTCGTTTTCAGCGCCTCCGGACAGGCGGAGTGGCTTGTTCTCATGCGCGGGGTGAAATCGATTGTGGAATCCAGGCGTGCGGAGGTATTTTCGGGTGTGTTGGCGCCTGATGCACTGGAGGGGGAGGCTCAGGTAGACTCGGAGTTGGCGGAGGAGCTGGAGCGGCATAAGGAGCGGATTCGGGTTGTCCAGGTGTTGATCCGTGCGGAGACGGGCGACCCAGCAATTAAAGAGATGTACGATTCGGCCCTGTATGATCTGCTGCATATCTTTGATGAGGTATATCGGATGAGAGCCGCAGGAAAGCAGGGGGTGAATCTGATGCATCTGGTCATTGGGTGGTTGTATCGGCTTTCGGAAGAATTTGTCGAGTGGCTGGAGGCGAAGGATCCGCTTGCGCTGGCTGTTTTGGCTTACTGGGCTATTCTTCTCAAGTACATGCAGTCTTCGTGGCTGATGACGGGGTGGGATGAGCATGTTCTGGCGGGTATCCAGGCTTCTCTGCCAGAGGAGCATCAGCGTTGGATTGAGTGGCCGGTAGAGTGTATTTTCGGGGATAGGCAACCTGGTGTATGAGCTTGCATAGGTCATTGCTCCTCTGGCAGCCTTCACCAATATACTTCTACTCCTGGGTCGGATCGGTTGATCACGATCACCCAGTAATACCCTGTACATATCCCCTAATGGTCTAGGAGAGACATAAGTTTAATGGCCAGGACAGCCCCATCCGCGGAGAACTAGGCCTCTTCAGCAGCTATTCAACCTCTACTGGATACTTGACCCGCAAAGATCAATCAACCTTCGCGAGCGGTGGTATATCAAAAATAGGAGCAGACTCTGACGCTTCCCGGATCGACTGAGTTACATTGAGTGACGACTAGTCTCTTCCTTGAAGTCTTATTGTGAAGTCTTGTGTGTACATTTAAGATTCCATAATATCCTCAATATGCGTTCAATTTCACGATCTCCACCATTATATCCGACGCCATATCAATTCAACCCCAAAAAGAACGGAAGAAAACTTGCCGAGCAGATCTGGATAGCCAACGGCGCAATCGCCACATTCGCCGTCGAATAAGGCCCCGGCGTAATCGTCCATCCCCAGGGCGCACCAACCGCAAAGTAGACCATCACTATCAAGTCAGCTCACCTCGTTTGTGTCTTTAATTAGGGCAACTTACCTCCCGCAAGAACCACACAGATCGCCCACGTCCACTTGAACCGCCTCACCATCTTGTCCATCCCGATGTAGAATCCCGTCGGCCCCATCTCCTTGGCTGTCGACGCCCACTCGAGATTAATGCTGAAAGCATGGCACAGAATCGCCTTGGCACAGTTCAGGCTGATCCCGCCGAAGTAGATGATCAGGAAAGGGAGCCACTTGACTGCGTCGAGGAGGGCGCGCCAGAACGTCTCCTCCTTTAGCTGGTGGCGGGCCATGCTAAAGGCGATGGAGGAGAACCCGTTGAAGACGACGACGAGCGAGCACCAGATGCCCCAGGAGGGGAGATAGAGGTGGTCTATGTCCGAGTCGAAGAGGCCGAGGAGGATGTAGTTTACTGTGGCGAGGAGCATGCCAGAGCCGATGGCATAGTCTAGTCTGTTAGCTGCGTTGATAAAGGGCGGGAAAGAGGCGGAGGCCTACAGGTGAAGATGTATGCCACGATGGTCACTTTGGACGTAACAGGCATATTGCTCCAGAGGAACCGCAGGAACAGCCGGGTTACCGGTCCCTTGTAGAACCATTGGTAGCTGCATCGGTCAGAACGGACGGTAATTCAGCTTGAGGTAAAGATACTGACAAAGGATGGAACACCAGCTCGTTACACCCATAGGCGTACTTCTCCCACCGCGTCAACTCATCGTACAGCGTCAGCGACACGCCTTCCTTGAACTCCCCGTTGTGGTACGTCGCCAGCCGCACCACCATCCCCTGCATCTGCAGCCGGAGACTGATATCAAAGTCCTCCGACACGTGTGCGTCAGACCACCACTTCGTCAGGCCGTCGGATGGATCGACGAACTGGATGCTTTGGAGTGCTTTCCATCGGAGAAATGCATTGTGGCCGACGAACGGAGACACGTCGCCGGACCCGACACCGTATTTGATGGCTGTGTAGACGACGTCGGTAAAGTAGGTAACTGATTGGGTCAGTTTTCATCATATATTGTAATGTCAAGGACGTGATACTCACTGCCATTCTCAAACAGATTATGGACGACCTGCATAACGCCAGATCCGTGCTGCAAAATGGCCACTTCAGGGCTCTCATGCATCTCCAGGGCACCGTAGAGAAGGCAGTCCACCGGCACACGAGTATCACAGTCGATCCTATGTATGTCAGTAAGGGTCTCTAGCAAGGCCAATGACTTACAGCAAGATCAACTCCCCGATACGGATGTTCCCTTCGGCCCCTGCCACAGATATCAGCGGAATTCAAGACATTCCTGCATGTCTCTTACAAGTACGGCCCTCATCAGCAGCCAGCATATTATCCAGCGCCTGTTGATAGAGTCGCTCGTCGTCGTCCACCGTCAACTCGTCAACCGTACATCCCCGTCGCTCTGCCTCCACTTGCAGCAGACGAGCCAGTTCATCCTCAACGCGAATCGAAAAGGCCAATCCGTAGTTCATATTACTCGCCTTCTTGAACTTACCCTTGCGCTCGAATCCGATCTTATTCGCCAGTTCCTGCGGCGTCAGAGGACCGTCCTCTTCTCCCCCTGGGGAATTTTCTTCTGCGGCTGGCACGGGTTTGTCCTTCCGAAAGAGCCCAAAGGCCCAGCCACTCTTCTTGACTGCTGTTTTCTTATTGGGAGGCCGGGCAGTATACCCGATCCCGTTTTCGCGGTAGTACTGCTTTCTTGCTTCGGCCAGTTCGGGCTGGATCACTTGCATGCCGTCGTCGTTGACGAAGACGGAGGCGGTCCCGCCTTGTTCTTCGTAATATTGGACTGCGGCGAGGACGCTCATCATCGTTGGAACGATGACACTGTCTGTTCAGTATTCGCTTGTTCCAGGGGTTGGTTGACATGTGACATACCCTTTCAGGCCTTCCTTGTAAACAGGCATCTGGATTGTGATATGGGCCAGCTCGTAGTCCCGATGAGCTTTTGGGTTGGGCTTGACGGCTGAATGTATTTTAATGAGACGTCCTCAGTAGAAGGTTCATGGATACTGACCAGAGTGATACTTGGAGTTCTTCAGACAGAACCCCGCGGGGAAGAAGAGCTGGAAGGTACTGGTGACCAATACGATGAAGAAGAACTGGTTGCGTTAGCTCGATCAAAGAGCACAGAGCAGGTATTTACCAGCGAGAATAGAGCGAGCGGCGGAATGGTGACAACCTAAGCATGATCAGTGTATATCCCTTAATCCATTTCCATCGGTTCTACCAGCGCAAACCGTGTGTATCCTCCATCCCACATGTACTCATTCAGCAGCTGTCCAACAAAATCAGCCAGATACTTTTACACATTGATTGGATGGACTTACCCTCGCCACCCCCAGCGACTGCGTCAAGATAACCAGCATAATCGCCAGACTGATCTTAACCGCGTGGATCCGCAGCGCCGGTCTCGGGGCAACATTCTGCTCCAGGTCCGGGGCGTCTTCGTCCTCCCCCTCCTCCAGCGCCACTGCTTTGCTGTATATATCCTGTTTCTCGTCCAGCGCGCCACGCACGGGAAGGGACGCGATGGCCGGTTTCTGCAGCTCGTCTGACCGGAGGGATCCGAGGGGTGTTGACCGGCCGGATATCCTCGGGGTGGTGAGATTCGATATCCTAGGGCTCTTTGAGGCAGGCTAGTCAGATATCCTGAGCTGTACTCGTGAGTAGACAGAGACTCACCTGTCCGCCGAGCTGCATCTCCACATCATGCGCTATGTTAAGTAACCCACTCGCATCATGCGACCAGACCAAAACGATCTTTTCGTCTAGGACGATGCATGCACGGGAGTAATGTGTAAGATTCACGTCCACGTCGTCCAGGGTAGGAATGACAGGGATCCGCGCGCTCGTGCTCTCTACGACGAAGCTCTTCTGGTCCGTGGCGATCGTCGCGATTGTCCTGGCGGTGACGCGAGACGACAGTGCGACGACGGCCGTTTCGTCTAGTCTTTTGATTGCCTTTGCGAGGCCGGGACTGATAACGGCCGGATGGAAGGAGTACGCGTCGTCTGGCAGTTTGATGGCCACGCAGACCGAGGAGGGATTCTCTGCCGGGTTGGGATTGGAATGGTCGAACCAGCCGAGGAGGGTTGCTCTTCGCGCTAGGCTTTTCGTCATCTGCATTTGTCAGTAGGTATCTAGGAAGCGAGGGGAGGGAGCAAACCATATACGGATTGTCTTCCTCCTCCAACTCTGACGTTGGATGCAGAGAGGGTGTTCCGCTCCGTCGAGAACTCGTCGACATACTCGTCTTCTGCTGCACGGTCATGGGCGGGAGGACCTGTGCTAGCTCGGCGGTATGAAGCTGTGGTGTCGGTGATCGGGAGGCCATGTACGCGCTCTGTTCGAGGCGATCAGGTGCATCACTCCCAGTGGGCAGCTCATGCCCATAGTCTGGCGCTGGAACAGCCATTGTGCTCTACAGTCCTGGAGCGAAGGCGAGAAAGACCTTGAGAACTAGGGAGAATAGATAAAGGCCGAGCTCGAGCCATGATTGAAGATATCCACCGACACGTCAGCGCTGACCTCTACGGCCGAACTGATAAAGCGACAGAGAGTGGTGGCGCTTTCTGGCGAGCTGATGGCTATCCAGCATGGCCTCCTTGCAGGTCGAGACTGGTCGGAACGTGAATAGTATCAAAAAGCGCTGGCTAGCAATTACACATCAGCGAGCAATCTCTAGATAGCTCAAGCGACATGCAGTTCTTTCGGCCACGCCGAACAAATAGTGAGTGCTAGCTTTCTGGCTAAATGGGTTGCAAAGATAACGACTATCGATGGTAGCGCCCAAGGGAATAGCCGAAGCGAACCATTCGATGGACGGTAGTATAAGCGGTATTTTGTAGCGACAGCCGAACAACTGGTCTCTGCTGGGCTTTGACCCCAGGCTTGTGAGTTTAGTGCAGGGGCTAGATAACTTAGCAGGGCGCTATCAAGATAGTGTCGGCCGGGAGTCGCATTCCGTCCCCTCCCTTGCCGTTCTTTGGTCTATCATGAGGATATTCCCGTATCTACACAGACTACGATCAGGGACTATCCGCAGGTGACTAGATGACAGCTTGTAAACAGTATTGATTGGCGCTAAATGATTGGGACTACTAAACGACCATGCAGGCCGTCTTAAACAAACAAGCAATATCTGCCGACAACTTCAACAAGACCCTTGCTGCCACATCTTAACCGACCTGACGATCATAGCACGGTCGTTTGTGTCTCCCCAGGTGGGCAGCCAGGAGCTATTTGCCAGCCAGAAATCCCGCATCGATGTATCGCTCTTATCCATCCATGGCTTGTTCCCTACCTGGTCTCTACAGACAGCAATTGAGTTCGCGTCAGCGCCACGACGTCCAAGCGAACAAAGAGAGATTCGATCGGGATATACTCACGGGAAATAACCATTCGTTGCACCCACAGCCACATTGAGAATCAAGTAAAATGGCTGGTCAAACGGGGTGTTGTCTCGCCCAGTCTGACTCCAGGGGTTCGTAGGTGCCGAGCCATTGTCATTCGTGCCCGCGAATTTTCCATACGCCCACATGTTTTCGTTCTTGGTAAAGTCGAAAAAGAGCACTTGCTGTTTGGATTTTAGTATTTCGCTCCGGAAAAGAACCTTGGGGTACACCGTATAGCCCACTCACCCGTAGTCGCCCGTCCAGCCAGGTAAACAGATACTTCTCTGACCACTCCAGCCCAAAAGTATGGAATCCATCCGAGTACTTGGTGCGCTTGGAGCCCCACTCGCCCATGCTGAGCAGATACGCATCGTTATTGTACGTCGTGCCCCAATGCATCGACGAGCTGATGATGTTGCTTCCCAGCGGATACTTCTCCGCGTCGTTCCCGCGGCTCTCCGCGATGTCAATCTCCCCGCTGGCGGGCCACGGCCCGTATACTGAATCTTGAGGCATCATCCTATGGTGGAGCTTTAGCGTGAATCCTAGTCCTAGTCCTAGTCCTAGTGCTAGATGTGATGGCAGACTGGCGGACATACCAGATTGCGGGCCACAGCCAATCACCTGCCGGGAGTTTAGCGACTACCTCGACCCTGCCATATTTGATTGTCTTTTTCCCGGCTGTGGTTAGTCGAGCCGAGCGGACGGGGTTGATGATTTGTCCTGCTGTCACGTTACTGCGGATTGCGCACTTGGAGACGGTGGTTAGATTGGAGAGACGTTGGTCCGTTGTGGTGCAGGTGCCATCTGTAGTCAGGTTGAGCATGTACCTATCAGAAGTCAGTGAGGATGATTCGTATCGCGGAGAAGGCTAGGACATACCCGTCTACGAATTGCGCCGGTGTGATGTCTGTGTCCTGGAGAGTCAGCGTTGGGACGATGTGGAGACCCTGGGCGTCGACAAAGGAGTTTCGAGGGTCGGCAGTGGTCCAGTCGAATGAGCCTGTTCTGTATATTTGCTATCAGAGACTGTTTGAGCATATCGGGTAGGCTTGCTATCGCTCACCCAAAACCATTCACCTGCACCTCGTGGTTCCAGACACTGGTGTCCAGAGTGGAGAAGTCCTCGTTCAAGATCAGACAGTACTATTGCAGTCAGCTCAACAGTCCGACGAAGACTACCAGAACTAGACGAAACGAACCTCATTCTTGGGCACAGTGGCCACGGAATGGTAGCAGATGAAGCCGGACAGCGCTATACCCTCTAGTGAGCATTGGCGACTCCTTAGTGACAGTAGGAGACATACCAAGCGCAACACCAACCGCACTGTAGAAGATAATTCTGTCCCAGTCCCATGTGCGCTTTCCTGTCTGTAGCCAAGGCTTCTCGAATCTACAGGCCCAATATCAGATCTGGCGAGAGCTTCATTGAAACTGACACTCACTCCCCAATCAATCGTGAACTCTTCAATCGACGACGAGGGCGAACAGTCGTCGCGGCTGATCCTGGAAGCGGCTTAGCTAGGGCAATGGAATCAGACACGAGTGAAGGCATACCAGAGGGTATGGAGATTCTCGATGATGGCGGTGCAAAGGAACTGCACGCAGAAGCACGGTCAGAGGGTGCTGGAGTCATTCTCCGATCCATTGCGTTCTATCTAGTCACTAGTATACTCCAAAGAATGTTTCTACAACTGTGCTACGAGTCCATATATCTATAAATTTGATATTCATATAGTATACATGCAATGCATGTCCTGAGCACGCACTAGCTTGCATGGCATACAAGGATAGTCTGGCCCTTGCAGTAGGCCAGCGATAAGACAGACAAGGGTACAAAAGTGCCACTGACACTAGAAATAGGGTGTTAGTGTCTGACCGGGCGTTAGTTACGTGACAACACCGGAGCCGGTCTATCTCGGCCGTAAGCTGCCGTCCTCAGTCTGTCGTAGACATACACGTGGCTTACAGATTGAAATCACAGGGCGAGTCACTCCAGTATAGGTAAGATTAGACGACGTAGATAGTTTTAAGCCTCGATCATTGGTAGTTGTAGGTCGTAGACTCCTAATACCTGGCCTAGAGAAGTCTCATCCAGTTGCCGTGCGCCAGTGGCTGCGCTATCCAGCGCATCTTTGTCCGTCGAAAGCTGAACAGGAGCAGTAACAATGCTCGCCTGATACTACATCCAATCTTCTGGGACTTGTCTTGTATAAGGTTTGGGAACTATCGTTGAGGTATGTCCTAGAGGTCAGAGCACATGAGCTGTATCGGAGCTGCCGAAGAAAGGGCAAGGCTGAAGGGCACAGATCTCACCAGCTATGGATATAAATAAGAGCGCATAATAGCACACGTCTCCTACTGTTATCTGTGTTCTCCACACCAATTGCATCCAAAACTATTGGTTCAAACTGATACATGCCTGACATGGCCCTGTTTCTGCTCTTCTCCACACTTCTCGTGGCCTCTGCCACTCCCACTACCTTTGATGTATGTAATAACCTTTTCCACTTTGCAAGGCCAAAGGTCAACTAATAGGCACACCACGCGATAGAACGCACTCCTCCCCAGACAATCCGTCTCCCTCAACGGACTCTGCGGCGCCTACAATGGCAGTGCAACCTGCACCGGCAGTGCTTTCGGCGACTGCTGCAGCCAATTCGGATATTGCGGCAGCCAACCCGTCTACTGCGGCGCAGGCTGTCAAACCGGCTACGGCGTCTGCGGCATCGACACGACCCTCCGCTGGCGCAGCCTCGGCTGCTACTCGGACGACACAAACCACCGCACCCTCAACACCTCCATCCTCGTCTCGGGCAACACGGTACAAGCCTGCCAGGCCGCCTGTGCCAAGGCCGGCTTCACCTACGCAGGCATGGAGTTCGGAACGCAATGCTTCTGCGGCACAGCGATCATGAACAACGGCGTCGCTGTCGCCGCGTCGCAGTGTAACATTGCCTGTCCTGCGGATGCATCGCAGATCTGCGGCGGCTCCAACGCGCTCAGCCTGTACGTTGTTGTGCCGATCTGGCAGAGTCTGGGCTGTTATTCCGACTCGACCAAGGCGCGCACGCTGGCCGTCTCGTATAATGTTGCGGGGAACACGGTGGAGAAGTGCCAGGCGGCCTGTGAGGCGGGTGGCTATCTGTATGCGGGCATGGAGTTTGGCACGCAGTGCTTCTGTGGGAACTCGATTGACAATGGTGGTGCGCTTACATCGGGCTGTGCGACGCCCTGTGCCGGCGACTCGACTGAGGTCTGTGGAGGGTCGAATGCCCTGAGCATGTACTACCTCTTCCAGTAGAGTCCGAGCGTGATACTGTGTAGCTAGTCTGGTCTTTCAAATGAAACTCCCTGTTCATGCAAAAGAAAAAGAAAATAAACCAGAAAATACGAAGCATGGATGTTGGAATCTTTTAAAGAGAAAAAAAGAAAAAGCAAAAAGAGGATTGGCGCTACCCGGAATCGAACCGGGGCTGACACGGCCACAACGTGGCGTCCTACCCCTAGACCATAGCACCTTTGATGTTAATTCCTCATCAAAAGAACTTATAACGCAGACCCAAACACTTCTACCCTTTGGCGCTTATCAAGTGAGGACCAGCACAGTAGGGCAACTGCTGATACACTGTTTAACTTATTCTATCTTGAACGACTTCTACTGTGATCGCTCTATACACTCCGTACATCACCCCAATTTCCCACCCATCTGCAGAGTCCAAAGTTTGCGGTCGAATCGTTGTTCTAGCAAAGCTTGTGCATCTCCAGCATACATAAATGTCTTTCCGGGCGCCTCTGAAGGCTCCTCGTCATCCGTAAAGAATACCCAGCAGTCTGCAACTCGGTATGCGTTGGTTTCATAATAAGCAAGCTTTTGAGCCTCCTCTTCGCACTGTACCAGATACGCATACCCGGAAATCTCCTGTCCCTGCTCCCCATTGATCAAGGCAGGGTAATCACCCCACTTGGCGAGCGAGTAGCCGATTATTTTCGCTTTCCGAAGTCTGGGTTCCTCCTGCAGATCGATGACCCTCTTCAGGTTTGCAGCCACTGTCAATGTTCCGTAGAAGAAGTAGTACACAGGATATTCTGGTGCGAGTTCGCGGGTGGCTCCATCGAGGTTTGTCAGATAGTCGGGAGGCGCCGACTGCAGCATGACTTGGTAAGGCGATGGTTCGTCTTTCTGGGGCGAAGTGCTTGGTGGATTCAGTGTTTCTTCATTCCAAGATTGCTGTGGCATCTTGTAGACTAAGATTGTGTGTCGCTTAAGCACCTGCTTCATGGAAAAGAAACCTAGCTGAGCAGCGACTGGTTGTTTTATCGTCCGCTCCGCATAGTTGGTTGTAGACTAGCCTCCAGCCTCCTCGAAACATGTGATGTCCACATAAAGCTGCCTCCTTGCCTGCCTGCAGTCATTTGGGACTTACTGTGTTCAACATCTGATGAACCATCTCATCAAATCTGATACAGAGCTTCGGGGACCGCATGTATATGGCCGTTGACATCAAGAATTATGACTACACCTTTGATACGACGCACAAAATCAAAGCTATCCTTCCAGTCTATGTGTTCAGGCAGCATAGGAGAAGAGGCTGGGTCATTATAAGATGGCCCACGAAGATGAGCGCCTTGCTAGCTGACCTTCATAATGTTAATGGGTTTGATGCCGCAACACCTTTCCTTGAAAACCACATACACGGATTATGCACGCCAATCCGCGTGAGTTTCCTGAGAGTTGATGTGTCTACACTTTGACATGGTGAAATACGTTGACGCGGTGGAAACTAGAAAGAAAATCCGTGGAGACTGCTCTGAGACTCCAACTCCCATCCTTTCTGCTGCAGATCGGCAATCTTTGTGGTATCTGTTACTCCTCCGTATGTTGCCAACGCCCGAAATTTCGTTTCGAGTTCAGCTCTACCGAGAATTAGCATTGCTCCGACAAATCTTTGGAGTCATACCTTGTCAATGAATTCTCAGGATCCCCTTTCAGATACTCAACGGACTCGGTGTACTTCCTACCATCCTTGCACACCACGACGACCGTCCCCTGCCACTGCTTGGGAAATTTGGCATCAATCTCCGGGTCCAGCTCCATCGTTACTCGCTGTTGAAACTCTCGCAGCTCGGCGTCCTCCAGCGCTTCCTCCGTGAAGTCCGTGATCATCGCCTGGCCGTTCTTCGCCGCAACTGCAAGAACAAACCCCATGGAGAACTTGCTCTGATGGACCGTCTCGCCTCGACCCGTCAGCCCCAGGACATTGATCGCAGCCTGGTACGTCCTCGCCACCACCGCATCAATCTCATGAAACTTGACCTGATGCTTCGCCATCAGCGCCAGCAAAGCATCCACACTGGGATGCGTATGCCGACATGACGCATGCCACTTGAAACTCGACCCCAGAACGGCGTAATCCAACCCTAAACCCTGACTGATGGCTTCTGGGTCCGTCTCCCCGGGAGCCAGCGCCGCGCCCATACCTTTCGAGCCCTCGAGGATGTCGCGTGGACCGAGCAGGCTGTCGCGCGCGCTGTAGGCAGCAAAGATGCCGTCGAAGCAGGCCTTGCCGGTGTGCACCTGCTTGGAGTGTGTGGCGTCGAGGAGGAATTGCCAGAGTCCCGCTGCCTGTGTGCCTGCTGTCCCAATGGCGGAGAGCGTCTGGCTGACGTCTAGATGTAGGAGCCGAGCGACAGCGGCTGCGACGCCGACGACGCCTCCTGTGGCGGTGGAGTGGAATTTCTGCTCGGTCGTCGTCTTAGCTTGGTCTACAAGCACCCGGGAATTGCCTGCATACATACCTCGTAGTGGCTCTTTCCAAGGTACTCGCCCGTCCGACAGCCGACTTCATAGCCTACTACGCAGGCGGTGATGAACTCTTTGCCGTCGGCGTGGATGTCCTGTGCGACGGCCAGTGCAGCGGGGAATATCACCGTCGCCTAATGATTAGCCTCAAGCGAGTGACGAACTGAATGAACATACAGGATGCATGATGCTCCGGTTATGCAAGTCGTCCTGCTCAACTACGTGTGACGAAGCGCCATTGATCAGGCTAGCAAAGGCAGGAGAAGATGATAATCCCAGCGATCCGTCAATGAGTTCACTTTTCCCAGAGGACGGGCCCATCTGCGTCACGAATCTCACTATAGCGGCGACAGCTGGGTGATGTCGTCCGGCGATCGTGCATCCTAGCCAATCGATGAAGAGCTCCTTGGTGCGCTGGATGACTTCCTCGGGGAGGTCGTGGTATTGGAGGTTGGCTGCCCATTGGGCCAGCTTTTCCGTACGTGTTTCCGGGGAGGGCTTGGATTGTGCCATTTGCTTTTAGTCGAGTTGAAATACTGTATTCTTTAGCAATGCGCATTCTTTCTATACGATCTGAAATAGTATCTAGGCTGCGGGGGTTTGAGCTACCCCTCATCTCCACACTGCTCTGTATAGCCTCGGAGATCCCCCTCCAAGTCGGTTATATGGGTCTTGAGAGTTTCGACGTTCACCAGATCTAGAAGAACATGATATTCTACTTCAGAGAGTGGCCGACCTGTTTGCGCATGGGATCCTGACCTGCACACTGTCCATCTTTCTTTTCAGAAGGACAATTGCACCTGTATTCGACAAACAATTCTCTTTGAACAGTGAGCAAAGTCCAACTGACAAACATCTGCTCCGTTGTCTTGAATGGCATGTATCTTTGCCTGTCTTTGAGACCTAGCCGCTGTTTTGTACAATGCACTGTCTCATATTCCTTATGTTGCGGCAAAGTTGTCTATAATGGAAAGCCAATAGCAAACAAATAGCTACAGAAACATAACCAGCCTCTCTGGTTTAGGCCGTTGTTCTCTAATACTATTTAAGCAGGCTTCCTCCCTGCAGACTTTTCCTTCTTTCCCTAATGCTATAGACTATATATCGTTTCAATTATATTCCCGCATGCCTACCCACTGCTTTTGGACTAAAGTATTCACTCTTCCTGCTTGCTGCATGTGAATCTCAGCAACGAACTCATCAAAGGGCTGCTGCATTCACTTATTCCAAGTAATAGCGTAAGCTATTCACTGTGAATTTTCCTGTCTATTATATGTCAACGGCTCAATTGTACAACTCCAACTTCTCTCCTCTAAATGATCTTTCTCTTGCACTATCACTTCTTCATCGCCGTCATGCCATATGGTTCGGCTGGGGAAATCTTATACAGCTTTCTTTTTGAAAGTCTCTCGCGACCAACGATGCATATTGGCATCCATTTCATCCAACAGGCTTGGGAATATGCTGTGCCGTGGAACTGTAATGTCCTCATTGGAGAGGATAAGCACCGGTAAGTCCTGAGTGTCCCTGTTTAGTTACAAGACTCATAGGCCCCTAGGTTCTATAAACAATGGACAGCGCCAAGTCGGCGACTGGATGTTTGCCGTTCATAAATACGAGAAGAGGACATCCACAGGCCCAAGCCCTGTAACGAAGAGTGCCGAAACGATCTTTGGCAACGATCCATTCGATGCTTTTCTTAGCGGTGCTCTATTCCCGCGCAAGAAACAAAACAAGTCAAAACCTCGTTCCTTCTTCAATACTGGCGCACTTGGCCTATTATATAAAACAAGGATGGGCTTTGGCCCGCCAGCTTTATAAAGGCTGCAGGGTAATGGGGGACAGGATTGATATCTTGCCCCCATGAAATACCAGTTTTCTCTCCGCACTTGACGCACAGCTGTGTTTCTGTCTCTTCCAAAACCATTATTGGCTTTGAAGTCCAAGAAAGCTTTGCTTAAGCCCAAGCCAAAGCACATTGTTCAATTCGTGCAGCAGCTCTATAGCGGACGTAAACCTGGCCAAACAAACATTTCGCCTGGTTAATCCTGTTGAAAGGGGCGTGAGCTGCGAGACAACCATTGTCCCGGCAAACTACCACGCCGAGGGCGCGAAAATGTGTCGAAATCCCGTCATGGTCGAGGAGAAGATAGCCCACAATCTAGATGCTGTGGAGAATCTCGACGATCTGACAATCAACATTTCGCTAGAGCTATATACAGGGACCCGTTCCTGCGACTACATATCAAAGAAGCAGACATCACTGCAACAAATGGAACATAACCGGGGCGGGTCGGGCAAATATACATTGCGACCTGACCATCCTGGTGTTTATCATGGTTTTTTATTTACCAGGGAGACATCGAACGTGTTAGCCAACTAGTTCCTAACTAGTTAAACGGCGTTCGGTATTTCGTTTCTGGGATACTCTTGGAACTACGTTAAGACGTCGAGGTTTGACTCAGAAAGTGCCTTCTAGAGGCGCAGCAGTCGCCTCCAAGGCAGACTGCTCCAGGCAAACCATGTGAAGATTTGATTCCGAGCGGACAAGATGCCATTACTGTGCCCATGAAACCCTGCATTGATTCAGTGGTCTCCATCACCACCATAACCATTATCATCATCTGGTTAGTATATCTTTAGGCGGTTTTCCTCTGAATGAAAGCTAACATATTACAACAGCCGCCTCCTGCTGCAGTTACCATGGTGGCTGTCGCTGTGCTGCCGCCATCCACATTAATGTACATGTCACCATCGCGCTTCTCCTTCGCATAATTTTACGATATCTAGTGCAACATATTATCTGCACTTTTATGTTTGCTGCTTGGGACAACGCCGCCGCTCACCGCACCTGACTGCAGTGTCGTGAAACTCATGGACGTTGAATGACTCCTCGCCGTGGCAAGCGTGTGTGGCCCGCCTCTCCATCTGCTTCCACCGCTCCCCTCAGAAAGTCTGCCCGGATTGAAGTACAGCCGTCGAGTTCAACTCGACAGCCATCAGCTGGGTTGTCTATCCCGACTGGTCGACAAACTCCCTCGGCGAACCCTTCGAACGGCCGTTGAATTCCCAGGGCCAGTCCGCCGCATTCATTCTCCAGTGTCGGGGCCCCATCGCAGACGAACCCTGCCAGTCGTGTGCGAAGAACCCATCCCCATTCCAGTCATGTGCCACCGCACCAATCTAGCAAGAGAATCTTATCAACTGGACAGCGTGGGGGCGCTTGTCAGCTCAAGTCAACTGGACACAGAACCCTATGGTGCGTGGACTACGGTACTTAATGCTGAGAGTAAGAAACAGTCCTCTGGCGTGAAGCCAATGTCCTAGGCGCTGTCTGGGCGTATCGCACCCTCAAAAGGATTATGCTTGATACCCTGGAGAAAGGTTTCCCGTCACAAGCAACTCGCTCGAAAGAATCCCTCATTCACGATGAGGTAAGTGGTTTTCTAACTCAAGTTAGATTTAATTCTAACTGTCTATAGGAAGAATGGAAGACCGCTACGGATCAGCTCCATGAGTATGCAGGATGAACCGCACTTCAGGATCGAATTCTCGAAGCCAAGAGAATAGGGACCGACCAGCTCCTGGCAACGATAGCTACAAGTCAATCTCTCACAGCTGCCAGCACATACCGAAGTGAATCTACAATGATGCAGAAATCAGGGAGGCAATTGATACGTGGCGTAGTGAGCCGAGGCTGATATATGATAATATCATATTAGCTGGCCGAAGTCGATCCGCTGGAGAAGGCCGCCGCTGCCGAAGAAGCGGAAGTCGCTCGCAAGCGCACCAAGGCGCAGGAGCTCCTCAAGGCCATCAAGGATAAAGAGGAGGAGGAGAACAAAGACAAAGATGATGGTTATTGCACTTTCTTCCTTGGTGATCTACAGGCACTAGATAATGGGCTCCAAGGCAACGGTGTGTACCATTTAGTCCGGCTATCACAGTTCCCACTTTCTGACGAAATCCCTTTGGATAGAATGCGCCTCTCAGATACTCGTCGAAGCTCTACCGGCATCCCGGTTCCTGGTGTCGAAGGCGCTTCCCAGGACAGTAATGTGAGGTCACGAAGGCAGAGGGAGCCGAGAATATCCCTCTGCCGAATCCGGTCTTCTCGATTGTCATTTTCTCACGCCCTCCCCTTTTCACATATGCCTCCTCAGTGGGGTAGAGTGTTAATTCAATTCAAGGTACGTTCAGTTATCAGAAGTCTGCTTAGTCGCCTGGCTAATTCGCTTAAGTACTCGCTGGCGGATGAGGACTGGGAAGCAAAAGCTTGCCAGCAGTTCTTCGAGGCGGCCAGTGCACTAATGCGTTGTGGCGCGCCAGAGCTTACCCTGACTGCCTACGTGCAACTCAGGGTTGTGGATGGAGCCAGTGGCTCCGGATCTGTGCAACTTGAATTTGCTGTAAGTGTCTTACTTATATTCTCTCTCGCAGCTGGTTATGCTGACTTGTTATGTCACATAGTTCAGCAAGACTCAACTCCAGGATTGCCTGACAAGCCTTGCACCGGCAATCATGGACGATATCAAGGTGTTTCTTGTATCCCTGTCTGGAGGTTCGACCTTGCAGGTGCAGTACATTATCCGCGTATATTATATCATTCAATATGAACCCCACAGTCAAGCTAATCCTTCTACAGAAGGACTTCGGAGCCCACCCGTTCCAATTCGCCCCTTCCTGTTGAGGAAGCTCCATCTGAGACGCCTAACCCGGACTTGGACATGGACCAGACGTCGCCCAGCTTCAGGTAGGACTTGTGGTTGGTACGACTGTACGCAACTGACATTTTTAGGTCTGCTCCTGGTGCCGCTGCCGCCTGTGCTGCTCCTGTCCCTGGTCAGCGGGGCGGTGCCTTGCTGTCATCCCGCCTCTTCCTGCGCCTGCTGCTCTCCCTCCGGCCCATTATTGCTACCGGTGTCTCCAAGCCCCGCATACCGCGCAACGGGTGTGCTCCCTGCTTACTTGGGCTATTCTCCGGTAGGTGGGAAGTACCATCATACTGTGCTTCGCTCAGTCGAACGGTGTGGCTAGGGCTCGCCACAACTGTTTGCAATACTTGCCCAGCTCCGCGCTCAAACCGATCGATCAACAAGCTCTCAGCGTCGTTCTTCGAGACAGAGGTCTCGCACACGTTTATCAAGACGTCACAGGAGACACCGCAATCACGATTATGATTCAAGTAGTTTCCAGGGATGATGAGGATTCTAATCGCCGGCCATACCGCCGATCAGACACGAACAACAGTGGTAACACCACACGATACGAACAAGATACATCGATTGGGGCATGGCGTCCATTGACATCGGGTTTCTCTTCCCGACATGCCCTTTGCATGGGGAACTGGAGAAGTCATCGGTAAAGATGACAAAACTTTCTACCGCTTTTCAGTGGCTTTCGCTAATCGTCTGACGGTTGCGGAACAACCAAGACCAATCGCCAGGGTTAGCCAGAATCTGGGCACATGCTTCAGAGGAGAGGCACTCGAATAGTTACTCTCGTCTAATGCAACAGCCGGCGTGTGCCAACTGCAAAGTTGGCGGGCTTTCCTGGTCAGAATTGACTTTATTTCAACCACAGTACTGCCATCAGTCGCGGCTTGTTGACCAGGGACGTCGATTTTGATGAGCATGAATGGATGCAACTCGGCATCAAGTGTCACAATCCCCTTCACGAGACTCAGTTCAGAGAAGGAGTCAGATACTTCACAACCACAAGTTATGGCCAGTCCTTCTGTTCCCTGGAATGCCTGGAAATGATACTTCGCCGTAGACTTTGTTAGTCTGGATTGAAAGAATTAGTGAATGGATGCTAATCTCTCAACCTTAGATGTTCTTCAATTCCTCATTGCCAGAATGCCAGGGGAAGCTCTAAGAATAAAACCCCAGCTGTCGTGTCATACAGGAGCTGTTGACACAAGTTCTCATCTCGACGCATCCTGAAATGCCCTACATGCGGCCTGGCAAGTGTTCAAACGCAAACCATACCGCCAGTTTCAGACCGTCTAGCCGCCGCCGCCGGCGGGCAGCGACCCCGTTTCCTGATATTCGTGCATTGGACAATGGTGATGTGGGTAACCGAGATGTTCCTGGACGCCATCGGCGTCAGATACGTGACCATCAGGGCGCAAAGAGGAGGGGCAACGCCATGAGGCGGCGGCCGAGTTGACGAACCCCAAATCCGACTGCCAAATCCTCCTTACGTCGGATCAGTGGTGGGAGCTCGGTCTCAACCTCCAGACCGAATGCAGCGGCGTCATCCTCTTGAAGCCGCCCCTCAACTTGAATACTCTTTTTCAGGCGGTGGGCCGGGTGCACCGGCTTGGGCAGCGCAGCTGCCAAAAGGTCTGGTCGCTGTTCCAAGCTACTGAACCATCTGGTTGCCCAATACTCAGCTGCAAATGCCATCCCTATACCACAAAATAAAGGCAAGCCGGTCAAGAAGTGGACCCTCCAGGCCTTAAAGGGGATTCTGCAGAACTCTACAGCCAATCTTTCTCCTAGCAAAGACGTTGCTGTTTGTGATTGGCACATTCAAAGCCCAGCTACGTGATCTCATATTTGGCAGCTTTAAAGGTGCTGTGCCGCCGTATAGGGCTATAGCAGAGTCCCTGATTTTGTTACTATGGACCAATCTCGCATAGCACAGGCTGTAGGAGAAGCCAAGGTTCCATGGGTACCAAGGAATTCATCAAGCACTCCACTTGATCACCTTGAAGAAGGGCAACAAAAGCCATCCGACACTTACTAGGTCAGTCTCCCAACTTATAAGATCGATATGCACACCAATTCAGACACGCATAGGCAAGTTGCACGTTATATGCTTGAGTTCAAGCGTGCTTCCTTAACCACATATGACGAAAGAATCTTTCTCCGCAAGTGAATGTCAGTAGACACTGAATACTCCAGTACTCGGAAGGATCAACGGGACCCAAACAGGGGAACATACGTCAAATCCGAAATCGATGAACTGAACCGGAGCACCCGGCAGAGAGTGGTGTCCGCTGCGTTGCGTGGAGAGTCCCTGTTAGGGGCTAACACCCACCGTACCCCTACAGTCCAACAACAGCATCCGCAACCAGGTTTGGACCGAAATACAGTCGTGAAAGCATTCGTGGCCACTATCGAGACTTGAGTACGCTTTGCTGACAGCTGAAGTACTCCAGGTCCTCTGCCTGAATTTAATCAGAATCCAGATCGACCAAAAAGACTCAAGCAAGGGACTTGATTATACAAAGCATGTTAAGCATACTCTTCCATGCCAGAATACCCCAAAACAGATATGAAAGGATAGGACTACCTGAGAGTAGTGGCCTACAAGGCACACCTCTCGGCCAGAAGTCGTGTTTCGGCTCCTTGAAGAGAAAATCTCCTGTCGGTAAGTGAAAGTCCTTCTGTGTCTGAACTCTTTGGGAGACTTACTCATCCTGCCAAAGCTACAACACTAAGAGCCGTGCATTGCGAATCAGAGTCATGCCAACAGAGATACATAACTGTATCAGGCATGGCTCATGAAGCAGATGATCGGCTGACTTTTAAATGCCCATAAATCTATTCAAAATTCATAATGAACACTTGGTGCTATGGGAAGCAGGACAAGTGGCGCTGGTCCCAGCTCGCACATACAGACCACAGGGTTTCCATCATGCCATATCCCTCGACCGACTAGCCATCAACTCATACAAGACCCGTCCAAAGACAGACAAGAGGAAATGCCAGATCCGCAGGTAGTGGGCCTCCTAACCAACATGGATATCAACATCAAACCACAGAAAAGCGGTTCTTACTCTTAAGGGAGAAATAAATTGGACTCTCTGGCTGGAGAGTCACAGGTATACCTTTGTAGCCGAAACACAAACCATTGGAAGCTATTACAGCGCCAATATCCCCCTCCTACCCCGCCAGTGTTCAACAACCGGTCATACAACCTAGCTCTGTGATGGGAAGATCATGGATAAATCGCTCATCAAAGAGAACGATATTCCTAAAATTCCTAAAGGGTAGCCCTCATTGTTGGCTGCCATGAGATTGCACTGGATATTGCCAACAATCTCAATACCACTCGAGAGGTTACCCCTGCGGGCCACCTACACGTTACCAACAAGGCGAACGTCAAATTCGCTGGGAGTCTAAGGATCATCACGCTTGCTGCGCGCACCGGTGATCGAACAATCTTTGAACCAATTTACAATCAGATCCATCCACGACTGGCAGCGACATTCCTCCGCCGAGGTCTCTGGCGGCATGAGCGAGCTCAGCTCTGCCGGGATTCAACAGTTGCCCTGGCAGAGCAAATCCTTCAAGGTGGGTGTAATATCGCGGATGGGGTTGCGGACCGTAGTCGTGATACCAGCTGATCCGCCTACGACCAAACAGAAGCTCCCGCTCAGATCGACTTTGACGACTCTGATGATGGAGACCTAAATGTTGTATTGTTGGAGACCGAGCTGCTCTGATGGCGTGTTGCTGCATGACAAGGTGCGAGACGGAAATCACATCCTGTCCGGACAATTAGCCTGTAATATCGCCTGCATCCCTCGACTACTGTTATCCTGAAGACGTATTTGACTCTAAGTATGTCAGTACTCATTGTGGTCGCTAGTGGGCTATTCTTTGAACTGCTAGAGCATCCTGTCTTCAACTGTGTGAAAAGATCAACATGACAAGTTTAGGCTACAGGGACTATTCATTGTAATCGTAGAAACTGTTGGAAATCCAGCCATTGACCGCACTATAATCAGCCAGCGGAGTGATTCCATGCAGCGTCTCATAATGCATACGAGGTCCGCACAGCCTTTCCCTCGTCGAGTTATAGTAGACGCACCGGTCCTGTAAGAGTGCCGCGATCTGTCGTCCGGCATCCAGACCTTCAAAGTAGGCTCCGTGCAGGAACCCAAAGTAGCTGGGTGACGTGTGTTCTCCTGCAAACCACAGCCTGCCAGTGTTGGCGCGGAGATTCTGGTGTTCCTCCAGGCCGGTGCTTGCGGGCCAGTTGGAGTAGCTTCCGTATGACCAGGGCTCGGTACTCCAGCGAGGATACATGAATGCGGTCGGCTCGGGAATGTCCTTGTCCGGGAACATCTTGCGCAGAACTGCCATTACCTCGTCTTTGGTCTCCTCATCTGACTGGCTCTCGACGTGATAGGAGAACTCGTTGGTCACGGTGACGAAGAGGATGTTGGATCCGGGCAGGAAACCAGGTGTCGAGAGTGATTGCCAGATGGGATACCAGCCACGAAGGTTAGGGTCCGCGTACAAGAAATACTGTGTGTTTGAGGGCCAGAAGGTCTCGTTGAATTGAAGGAAGATCTTGGTGTAAGTGCCCATGGTAAACTTTTCAATAGCCGTCTGCTTCCAGTAGGGCAGCTCCGGCGTGAAAGTGACGGCGTCATTTTGTAGCACACCCAAGGAAAATGTGCATAGGGCATATTGGGCTTGAACGCAAGTACCATCGCTGTTGTACACCGTTACGCCTTGGTCGGAATAAGTGATGTTGGTGACTTGCGTGTTCAAACGGAGCCGTGTGTCGTTCGCCTTGAGGAATTGCGATGCCATGCCCTTGATGATGGTGTTGTATCCGCGCTGATCCCATACAAAGTTGTCTTCGTCGCTAAAGCCATTCCAGGTCAGGTTGCTCCCAGCGTAGGCAAATACCTGAGAGCTCACGAGTGGCGAATAAGCTTCCTCGAAGTCTACGACTGTTAATTCCATTCCTGTTGGAGACAGGCCAGACTTACCCCATTTCCACCATTCAACAGCCTGCGCCTCCATGTCGGTCTTTTTGGGCTTCCAGCCAGCCAAAGCGAGACCTGTCCGAGCTGTCTGATCCAGTAGATTCTCCAGTAGAATCGTGCCAGCCGCGGCGTTGGCAATCTCGTCGGCGGCGTCATACTCATCGAAGAGATGCGAGTAGTTGGCATATCCGTTCTCATTGTAAGTGGAGAGGTTGTCATAGTTGGAAAATGTATTCTTGAGGTTGAATTCTTTGGCTAGTGTCCAAATAGGGTTCTGTGGCCCATCCGGGGTCCCAATGCCTTGGATCTGTTCGATGTCAGAGTGGCTCGGCATAAACGAGGAACTACATACCCAGTTGGCACCCAGTTCCACGACATAAGGATTTCCATTTTCGTCCTTGCCAAAATTCGTGTGCCAAGCGCGGCCTCCGATCGTATCACGGTATTCTAGAATGACAAAGTCATGGATCGATGCGTTGGACAAAGTTTGCTGGTACGGTCAGATCTGAATGCATCCAGGCACATGTTCAACATACAGCAGCCTTGATGCCTGCCATTCCGGCTCCTCTGCGAGAATTAGCAAATATGTATATACGAACAGATAAGAGATGCATTTACAAGATTGCAACCGTAGTTTTCTGGCATGTCCCCTCTTGAGCTCGTGGCTGCTGAGCTACGTAAGCTGCGACAGGTTGAACAGCGCAGCCCACGATGGCCGCCAAACCCAATTGAAGATGCATCGTTAAAACAAAGTTGAAGCAAGGTGATGGAGCGCAATGCTTGAAGAAAAGCCTGCGCTGAAATGCGGGCGCATGCGGCCTTTATGCCTGACCTTGGAGCTCCGACTGGAGACTACGATTCAGCTCAGCAGCTACCCCAGCCAACTCCACTTCTGCATTAGCACCAATTGCTCCTTGCATACCTGCAGATAAGGTGCGAGAAACAATGCAGAAGATCGGCAGGTCCATGCAATGCAACGTACTCCACCTGACCTTCTCACGACATGAGGAGTGACGCTATGCGAGATTTGGAAGGTCTATGCGGAAGGCATCGACGAGTTCTGATAAGCATATTAGCACTCGTTTTTGCTGCGAGATAAATCCCCGCATCTTTATCTCTGATGAGAAATTTCCTGTCCTGTGTTATCGTTGTGCGAGATGTGGGAATGTGGGTGGCTGGTCTAATGCAGCTGTTGCTGCAACTGGCAAATAGTTTGCAAGGAGCAGCTGAACAACGCCAGGATACGACGTACCATGACAGAACCCGAGCTGATCGGGTGGACCTCCTCAATCTCGGTTAGAGGGTTCGTTACCATATCAAGAATATCAACGGTCCCTTGCTAAATTAAGCATGAATCCTGACAGTTTTGCTGTTACTTGTTGATGTTTTGGTATGTCTTGTATGCCGCGGCAATTCTGGCTGTGCTTGGTTGTTTGATGCTTCCCCTAATTTCTCTAGTCTCATCGAACGACAATCCTTTGGCGTACGCATTGAGCTCGATAAAAGCCTCTGCAATAGATACAGAACTGCTCACTAGCATATTATTAGCAGTCGTCAAGTATCGTGATTTTTTAAGGAAGTCACTTACTCCCAAACCGTCCCTGCGTCATTTTTCGGCATGCATTCGCTGCTTAGAGATCTCTCAACGCAAATGCTGAACAGAAGCAGTTGCAGATATTGTCTCAAGAATCTCCTGCAGAAACTCTTCGATCTCAGTTTGTTCGAAGCTCTTCTGCGGTGAGTAAAGGAGTTGTGCCGCACGCACAGTTAGAGACTTCGTTGAAGGTCTGAGAAACAATCCGTATAAAGCGGCGAACAGGCTTGCAACATATTTCTAGTGACTAGATATGTGACTCCGTGGGATATGAGAAACTTGAGAACCATTTGTTCTGCAGAAGAGTTTATGTATTGCGATGATCAGAAACAAATGTGCACAGTACACTGATGTGGTCCGTGTTACAGACAGACGTGGATGATACGGAGGTGCAAATCAGAGCTATTGAAACAAGTCTATGAAGGCTTTATATGAGCACCTACTAAGTCAGGTGAGATATAATGGAATAGGTGGCGGGCAAGGCTGGCACGACACTTGCATATTCCTGTCTTGCCCATTCCCATCTAAGGATTTATACCAGCTAAGACAGTCGCCAGAGCGGGGCACGACAAACGAACACATCAGACATACTGGAAGTACAATCATTTTCCAAGTTGCGTCCTCCTCCACCGATGTCGAAACACACTCATCATCATCATCGGTAGATGGAGCGGTTGATGAAGCGCAGCCCTACCCTTCCTAATGACGATCAGTAAAGCTATTGTTCGTCATCATCAGATTTGAGGAAGGATGTCTTTGAAGTTGATAACTATTTTCTCTTCTACTTGACCATGTCTCTTTGTCCTTGACGCCTGATATGCAAGTTGCCTTTCAGCAGCAAAGGACTCCATATCAAATATGTGTTCGTTCCACCAACAATCTCAAACCGACATCACCCTTGATAACAATGCATTATTATGCTTCAGCTGATCCAGCGAGATCCATTCCTTCAACACTGCGTGTCAAGGTACATCTGTCGGGGTCATATGAATGGCAATCAACTGCGATCCGCCCAGGAACTCGCACAATAACTCTCATTGACGAATTCGTTTGCAGTCCTAGGCAGCCTAGGAGACAGCTTATAGCTTCGTTATAAATTATGGGCGTATGTACTTTCCCGCTCATATATGAGTATGACAAGTATCGTCACTAATTCATCGAGCAGGCTACCAGATTTCGTAAGGCTGAGGCCAAGGCTAGAATTGCAAACAAGGCTAAAGCTGCAGCCAGAGGGTGAAGCGAGACGCCCAGGGGGTGAACGGCCGACAGCGTATAGCTGCAGATTTAGTGCTGTCTCAGCCACCACATACAGATATAAGATGAAGGGTCCGACTTTCTCCTTTTCTTATTCTCTCTGCCTCTCATTTAATATAGGGAGAGATGAGACTCAAAAATGGGTGATTTGGATGATTATGTCGATGAGAAAGTGGATACAGCGACTGTTGTTGAAGCAAGTGGTACGTTGTTAACCGCCGGGTCTAATTGTCTTAAATGCTTAGCTTCGATAGACGAAAACACCTGGACCTCGCGACAGTCAAATCTATGGCTGGAGTTAGAAAATTACCAACGGCAACCACCTTCAATAGTTCTATTGTACGTCTTCTCCAGCTCTAGCTAGCATTATCTCACACCGGATGAACAGATACGCCAATTACACCGAGAAAAGCGTCAAACACTCGCCCGTTCTAAAGGACGAGAATCCAGATGTCTTTTTTCCTCCTGACTTCATCCCCGTCATAAAGGCAGACCTGAACGGGACATTCTTCTGCGACTACAACATTGACGATGAAGGACAAGTCACCAAGCATTGTCCGTCCATCCCTCATGCTAAACTCCCTATACTGATCTAGTATAGTATCCTGGACCTGCTTCAAGATCAAACACGTCGTCAAACCAGGCGATTACGTCTGGATCCAAACAGCCGTCTTCGTCCAATGGCACCCGCAAGAAAACCGCCAGCTCGTCTTCTTCCTAAACCTACCGGACATCGTGGCAGAGTATCTCGCGGCGAATCGACCCGCCCCCAGCCAGCGGGACAACCCATATATCTGGCACACGCTGGTCGCGCAAGGCGTAGTCAAAGAATACGACAAGTCGATCTGGTCTCTGCGGGATCTGGTCCGGCCTATTGAGAAGGTACCCCGCCCATCCCAAGCAAAAGGTAATTTCCGAATAGAATGACCAGAGCTAAAAAACTAGGCCCGCAACTTGTCACCCCCGCCGGCCATCAACTTCCCCAACCTCCACGATATTGCCCGTCACATCTTCCACGCAAACGAGACCCTCGAGGTGGCCATCCACACGCTACAGTCTCTGATCGACGAGCAGGAGCGCTTCCGCGCCGAGCATGCAGCCCTGACAGACAAAACCCGCAGGGGCTGGATCCACACCGCGCAACGGGCGCACTACGTCGCGAAACAGCTGCATTCGCTCCTGACGCGGTCGAAATCGCTTAGCGAGCGGCTGCGCAACGAGATCAATCTGGCGTTTAATCTGGTTTCGCAGAAGGATAGTGCGATGATGAGGACGGTGGCCATTGTGAGTATGGTGTATTTGCCGGGGACGTTTATATCGGTATGTTCAATGCAAGCCTCGGTTATGAATTTGAACGAGAATGGCTGAGAATGTAGGGTCTGTTCGGGACGAACTTCTTCAATCTGTCGAGTAATGATGGGGTGCAGTTGTGGATCATGTCCGGGAATTTCTGGCTGTACTGGGTTATCACGCTGCCGCTCACGATGGCGACGGTGCTGGTCTGGGCCTCGTGGCATTTTTTCCCACGCTATTTACCCCGTAGATGGCTCAGGCCGCAAAAGGACGCGGGCTCGGTTGCCTGATGGGCTTATGACTGATGAAGTGATGATAACGATCAACATGTCGATATGGGCTTGTATGTCGGAATGACTCTCTTGTCGATGCCAGATATGATTAGCCATTATGATTAATAGACTTATGATGCGGATTCGCGATGACAAGGCCGATAAAATGTTCTGGCTCCATTTCACTTGGGTAATTCACACTCTCCAAAGAGAGGCACAAATCAGCGCTTGCTAATGTACAGAAAGCTCGGGCGCCAAATGTCCATAGCTTGGTAACTGGTACCATCAGCGTAAAAATTCAGGAGGTCTCTTCGTACATATTGACGCTCAGCCTGGGCCGCCGGCCGAGAGGAGCACAGCACTATAGCAGGAGCCGTGCGTAGGTCAGTAGCTTGCGGACTGACCACATCGTCAGGGAACATCAGAGGTGTTCGAGATCTCATATCGTCAAGATCGTCTGCTGAGAGCACTTCAATCGCTCGCGCCGGCCATGCTTCCGCAGTCAGGCACCTGAGAGCTCAATCCGACAAAAGGAGCACTGGCTATGTGAAAACAAATGTACAAGCTGAGTCGAGGCCAGCGCAGTCTAAATCTATTTTACAAGACTTGACTTGGTTAGTGCAAAGCCGATACATCACAAGTCAGAACCCTCGCCATCCGAGGTTTCGATCGTTTCGGCCGCGGTGAACGGAGACTCGTCTGAAGGCTCATTTTTGGGTCGCTTTTCAAAGTCAGCAAATAACGAATCTGTCTCGGTCGGTAGATGAAGGCCATGGATAATAGCCCCGCGTGCGAATCCTATCCAGAGCAGCTTTGCACGAGCTCCATCGCCGAGACGCAGCTTTCGCGGCTATGCTGAGATTAATAAACGCATCACAATTTTCGGGCACATCCAGGCGTTCGAGTAAGACGAGCAAGGCCATGTTGATCGGCTGGCTGGTGCCTTGTGGCATGCGTTCAACACCMCACGCGGAACGGTGAAGGCGCATCAGCTGAGAGATGCTCCTTGCAGATGACAGGCAGGCCTCCTGGTGGGCCTTTGGCATCATCTGGAAAAGTCGGTGGTCCGAGTGACCATTCCGCTCACTCTCGCATAAGAGTTCGTAGACGGTTATAACGAGCGCGTGCTGGTACATGCTGCAAATAGTCAGCAATCACTCCTCTCGAGCGTACGCGTCGGGGACGAGAAGCCTACTGAAGACATAAGACGTGCGGAACCTCAATAGCGTCTCTTTCCTTCAAGCAGGGCGGTAGATCGCTTTGCCACTCTCGCAGTCGTCGTTGCAATTCGTCGGTCTTTTCCGCCTCTGCCGAGCGGACTTCCCCGTGAAAATGGGGGTAGGTAATATCGTAGGCGATTTCGTTCAAGCTACAAAGGGCTCGGAACGTACAGATCGTATGCGCTTGCAATTTTTCAGACTCGGTTGGATATGGTACCCACAGGTCGGCGTCCGGGTCATGGGTGATCTGCGGGAGGCATAGCTTTCGCGGCGGTTTAATCAAAGGCGCCTTCTTACTCGATACAGCATGAGTCCTAGGTCCAGGGACTGGTCAGTCGTCCCTGGTTCTAGCCGTCCGGCACTGGTAAAAGACATGGCATTGCGTACATCGCGATGTTGAACAAACCCCAGATTGTTACATTGGCCGCTCGGACCAGGTCAAGAGCCTCACCGTCGGCATTCTTGGGAGCTGTGATGCTCGGAAATAGTTCCTGAACGGCGTACGCAAGCTGGCTCTGATGAATCCAGCCATGCCGATCTTTCCTGGTCATGGAAGCGCTGGAATATTTCAGCAGAGGCCAGCTCTAGCAAGCGAGTGAAACATACCATATCCATAAAACTCCCAGCCCTTGGGCAGTCGCAAGGGTGATTCTGCCTTCTTCCTTGTCTAGCAATCGTTTGGCCTCGTTGTAGAAGCGGGCACCCTGGGCGGCCGCGTCTCTCGAAGAAGCACCTGACTCCAAACAATCCGCGTATGCCTGTCACCAGTCACCAGCGAGTCCAAAGATGTCGAACCGGGACTACCTACACACGCATCGGCCAGGATGGCATTCACCAAAAATGACGAACAAAATTTCGAGTCCAATGAGCCTGACTGCATGTCCCGCAGAAACAACGCCCGATCGATCCAGTTGTAGAAAGGATGAACCCAAGTAAACCACAGCGAAATTAAATGTGATACATGGTCGTCATCCTCGGTGACGGTCGTCCACGGCGCCGCCGGCACGCGAAACAAGGGCTCCACGGGAGCCCTCTGCGCATCGAGAATACGACGCCGCGACCGCGACCCCATCTGCTCAAACCGTTGTATCTCATTGCACACTTCGATCAGCTCCGGTGTCTGCTCCAGCTCGGACTTCAGCTGCGTGTCTATGTAGAGTTGGATTTCGGCGAGGGAGGCGTTGCTGCGGATGAGGTTGAGGAGCTGGATGGTGCGCCGGGTGCCGCTCTCGCGGAGGGTGCTGACGAGCTGAACCAGGAGATCCTCTTTCTCTTCGAGCTGGTTGACCTTGCGCTTTAGAGCGCCGCGGCGGCGTTTATCGGCGCTGGCGTCGAAGGTACATTCGACGTTGTTCTTGATACAGTTGGTGCATGGGGAGGTTCCTGAGCACTGAACTCGGGGTCAATGATAGCGCTTTTCAGAGTCATGGAGCAGCTGACAGCTTCACACACCTTGAGCTTGCGTGTTTTACAGGCCGAGCACGCTGTGCCGACATTTTTCCGCTTTTGCTGAGCTTCATTTGTACCAGAGCCACCAGGCGGGGCTGGAGACGGTTTGGACTCGGCCATGGTGGGGTATCTCTGTGGACTCAGGCCATTCCGGATATTTGGAATCAATGAAGAGCCAATAATTGAGAGAAGCTGAGAAAGGTCATGTAGAACAAGGGGAGGGCAATCGGCTTTAAAGCTAACATGACGGAAGGGGCCAGAAGTGAAGGGGAACTCGATGCGCTGAACCCCGAACCAGACCTGTAAGAAACCTCAAATGCCGTGACAGAGCTGGTATTAATTACGCCATTCCCGGACTGCTTCGAGTTAACCGTCCCATCTTATTGGCGGATGAGGCTGTTCTTGCTTCTCTGCAGTATTGTATTGTAATAATCTACTGAATATTTCTTCTGGCATGAATCATGGGAAAGTGATATATAGTGGTATTCCTTTGTTACTTGGTAGTAAATTATTACCTTGTGGTTCTGTGATATTCAACTCCAATATATCTGTCTCACTTGACGGGATCTTGTGGAAGAAGCCAGGCCGCTCTGGTCTAGACCTTCGTACCGTAAGTAGCAAGGTTATCATATCAGGATATTGGAATCTCAAGATGAAATGGATTCTCTCTATATCGCAAGTAAATCATGATTGCTTATTCTTTTTTATGAACTAAGATGGCATCCGAGTTATCTGCTTGAGAAACAACTACCTAGATGCGTCGTGTGAAATACTACATTATGCTATTCTATACCAAGACTATTCAAAGGCTTTTGTTCCCAACATCCACTCCACTCTTCTCTCCCTCCGGCCGGTCATGCGAAGAGACGGATCCATCAGGCATGACCCCCATATTTACCGATTCCTCCTCATCCTCGTGCCAAAAGTCCTTCTTGCCCCGAGCGGCCCGTCGCACCCAGGGAGGGAAAAATCCTCCCGGAACCTTATACGACCATGGGTCCGACTCGTCCTTGTTCGGAGGCACCACGCGACCGACGGAGCCCTTCTCAAGGAGCCAGGCTGTGGCATTGATGAGGACGTAACTCAGGATACCGGCAATCAGCCCATAGGCAATGGAGTAGGTGAAGGGCATGATGGCGATGGTCAGGAAGGCGGGAATGGCGTCGCCGTAGTAGCGCCAGTTGATCTCAGCGGCTGCCTTGCACATCAGGGCGCCGACAATCACCAGCGTGCAGCCGGTAGCCCAGGGAGGGATGGAGGCGAAGATCGGGGCGAAAAAGACGGCGATAAAGAAGCAGAAACCGGTCACACAGGAGGTAAGACCCGTCTTTCCGCCCTCAGAGATACCGGCACCACTTTCGACAAATGCCGTCACAGGGGGTGAGCCAAAGAGAGAACCGATAGAGATACTGATTGCATCGACCATCTGGGGGATCATCGTCAGATTGATTGGAAAACACACTGAAGGAGAGAAAAACATACATAAGCAAGGGCACTACCCTCGAAATCCTGAGTGCGCTCATCGATGGTTCCCGCAAACCGAGCCATAGAGTACAGAGTACCGGTGGTGTCAAGAATATCAACGTACTACACGCTGGTCAGTCAAAGATGGCGCGGAACTCAAGAATACGGGCTTACCAGGAACGTGATAAAGGCCAATCCAAACTGCCCACCATGGCCTGAGAGACTCCAGTCCTGAGCAACCAGGGTATGCTGGATGGGATGGAAGGTCACCACCTGCTTGAAGAAATCAAACATGCTGTCACCCAGCTCCGTATGAGGGAAGTAGGTGACCGACGTGGGCCGCGGCCAGGAAATGATAGAAACCAGCAAGATACCAATGATCACAGCACCCTTGATCCGATACAGCATCAGCAGCGCTGTGAACACACCACCGCAAAATATGCCCACCCACATGGTCGGGTTACGCATCTTAGCATAGCTGGGACACATGCCAGTCGTAGGATCACGCAGAGAAGAGATGCAGCCGGCCAATTCCAACGGAGTTTCGGTAGATCCCGTTACCAAGCCAATACCTGCGCTGTAGCTCAATCCGATGAGGGTGAGGTACAGACCGATACCCGTGCCCGTGGCGAGCTTGATCGAGGCTGGCAATGCACGCGCCAACCATTGTCGGATACCGAGCAGAGTCAAGCCCAAGAAGACGAAACCCTCGACAAAGACGGCGGTGAGAGCAAGTCTATACGGGATCATGCCGGAGCCGTGGTAACCCACGACAGTGTACGCGAAATAGGCATTGAGACCCATACCGGGGGCCAGGGCGACAGGCAAGTTAGAGAAGAGACCCATGCAAAAAGTAGACAATGCGGCTATGGCAGCCGTGGCAGTGACAAGGTCGCGCTTGATTTCCTGGACACACATCAGGTATTCGGTGTTGCTGTTACAGAGATCGGCCTGGCTTTCGGGAGGGCACACACAGGTACCGCCCGATTCGGAGGTGATGTTGGAATTGACACTGATGATGTAGGCCATAGCGAAAAAGGTAGCGAGTCCGGCGCGAATTTCAGTGAAGAAGTAGCTGCCTTTGCGTTCTTTCGGCTGTCTCATCGGTAAGCTTTTCTTCTGAGCTCTCCCTCCGCAAGTAGAGGCAGAAGTATACTGACATGTCCTGAATTCTCCAGGCGAAACCATCGCCCAACAGGGCTTTGAGCCACCCGGAGGTTGATTCTGTCGACCGCCTGAGTGATCCCCATGATGCGACAAAAAATAACAAGGGAAAAGAAGGGAGAAAGAGGCACCAGCCTGATGCCAGACAGACAGAAAGTCACGGAGGGAAAAACCCGCGCACAGTTTGGAGACGCGATGCGACTTTTATTTCGGATCCCTCCATGACATGCATGACCAACCACGCGACCGATAAGAAATCGGGTAAAAAAATGGAGAAAAAATTTCTCGAACGGAAGAATCTGATTCGATCAATGGCTTATCTCTTGAGGTCGACAGCTTGGCGGTCCTTGGCAATCCGCGGTTCTGTCCAGTGTGAGGCCTCTGTTCTGTGTGGTAATTGCCGATCGGGACGTTGTTTCAGCGGGTCGAATCAGAATGCCCAAAGGACATTGGTCGACGGATACCTCGGGGTTCTCGATGGAGTTGATGGCGAAAAATATCTGGAAATTGAAGGGTTCCAGTCTGCGTCTGTAGCTTCTATGACTGCAGAATAACGCCACAAGGGAGCTTGGTGAATGGTTAAGGTATCTAGCGGATATCACCGAGGGAATTGCGCAAGGTCTCGTGCTTGGCTGACGTCCAAGTGATGGAAAGTAGATAACTAGTACGCTGAGACTTAGCGTTGTTCTCGTATCGCTCCGATCTCCTATCTCGAGATTGCTGGGGTTTTCAACAGTTGATAAGGATTCGCTCTGACAGCTCACTGTATCCCGTATTATTTATTTATTATCGACTCACAGTGGAGAGCAAGAGGTCAAGGGCCCTTAGATAGACAAGCTGTTACTTATGTGGCATACTCCGTAGTACTCAGGAATAGCGTCTCCAGCTGAGGCATTGATGTTTGTCTTGTTTGTTCTGTTTACACACGTGATCTTGCTTGTTACTGTATCTATCTACTCCGTGGATGCTGGCGTCTTCGTCCACCTCTTTGTATCAGGCATAGTGGCGCTAGCGGCGCGTAGTTAGCTAACTAATGCAGCAACTCTCTCGACAGACTCCACAATGGGGCAGGGATATCAGCTGAGGCGAGCAAATCGCCGGTGTCATCATCGTCAACCAACAGCGCTTCCTTGATATGCGCTATCGGAGCGTCGACCTGCTGCGAGAATAGCATGAAACTATCACCGTCACCATGGCGCTGCAGTTTATCAACCAGAGCTCGAGCGGGATAGGCAGCCCTGACAGGCGCATCATCCGCTCCCACGTCATGCGAGGCAAGAATACGGGCAAGCAGCGCCGGTCCACCAAGAAACAGAAGACCGTCGCACAACTCAAGCACCTCTTGTATCCTCCAAAATTCAGATATGTGATTCCGCGGCAGGTGCTCTGGGGCGACCTGTGTCTCACTTCGTTCCCTCAAGAGCTCGACCCCGAGTCCACGGCGCTCATGCATCGGTGTATGCTCCCTTCATTATTCGGCCAGTCATCCACATTCCTTTGTGTCTGACGGTGGAATCACAGGGTTCTTTGACATTAGCGATGCGCTATTTCCGCCGCAGTTCTGTACCAAGTTTGACATTGTAAAGTCCGTCTGGGTCAACTACATTCTAGCAGATGAAGCATGTGGGTGACAGCATCGTCAGTCGGTCCACGCAGAACCGTTGACCACCAGAAACGCAGATTTCCATAGCACCTTGGCTATATCCTCATCTTATGTTGACTTCTCCCAGCGGAAACCAGCAATATCTCCCAAAACTCTTCACCACATCTCACAGGCGTATGCTTTGGTCAACGTAAAACTCTCGGGTCCTTTTTCCGTTTCCGACAGCGCCATAGCTGCTGTAGTCAGCCTCGCCATCTACCAGCAAATACATCACCAGCCTGCGACGGGACTGATCCATCTCCACGGTCTCTATCGCATGATTCAGCTGCGAGGTGGGATTGCTAGGCTGATGCAAGAAGATCGTGCGCTGGCACTGAAGCCGTTGAGGTACGTGAAAGTGCTTGCTTTCCCAACTGCCTTCACTTGGCCTCATTTTAGCATTCTTCGCTTCTGGATGAAGCTAACAGATAGGTTATCAGGCTCGATGTTGAATTAGCAATGCAAAATGGCACACGCACCCTGTTTCGAGGCAATGAAGCGCCCGTTCACCCGGTCTTATGCGAACCCAATGTCAGCGGCGGGCACTTTCCCAGCGCTGCCCCTTGGATGCCACTCATCATGCTCGATCTGTTCAGCTTCTCAAGGCTGCTGAACAACGTAGAGAGGAGGCAAGGACTGAAGCTTGATCCTCTAGACTATATGGAGACGGTTGTGTCGCTCCTTTATCGCCTCGTAGACATCTCGTCTCTAAGGCAAGCGTCTACCGAGCCCGGAGGACGTTATGGCGAGGTGACATACCTTGCAATGCTGGCATTTATGACGACATTGCTACCAGAATTCACCCGTGATGGATCTAGCTGCCCCCTTCTTTCTGATCGTCTGGGAAGGGCCATGCAAGACCTTTGCGTCACAGCATTGGAGTCGTCGGACTCTGATCCAGCATTAGTCTTATGGATTCTTTTTATAAGTGGGATATCGGCGTTGGATCTCAAAGACTGTCGGTGGCTGTCGCCGTTAATTGCCGACACTTGTGAGAGGCTAGAGCTGGACAACTGGGCTGCCATTCAGCGGCAGCTGAGTCAGTTTCCTTGGATATTCGCGTTGCACGAAGCCCCAGGCTGCCGCCTATGGGAGGATGTACGACTGGGGAGCAGAAAGATTCCATGGAATATGTCATCACAGGAATCATAACGAAAGCGGACATTAATATTACTGTAACATTCGTCTCGGTCGCTTGGAACTGTCGCATTTATCATGTTGGCTAATCATTGATGTTCTGTTGTGTTCCATTAGATGCCTGCATAGGGGCGTGTCGCTTCTTGTGGTACAGCTCGGGACGATGTTACAAAAGCTTTACTTGAGCTGTGAGATGCAGCCGGGCTGCACAGTCTCCAGCCTGGAAACGAGCTCGTCCCAGATGTCCTTCTGCAGCTTCTGGCCATCCTCGTTGGTGAGCCACGTGGGCACCCAGCACTCCTTGATCTTGCAGCCGGACAACAGCTTTCCGTTGCCCTCTTCGCCCACCAGCAACCCATGTAAGATGGTGCGGCTGCCCTCCTCTGCGGTCCGCGCCATCATGGCCCGGAGCGCCTCGTGCATGATCTTGGTGAAGGTCCGGTTGTCGCGGCCGAGGCCGGTGGTGCAGAGACCAGGCGCGACCATGGTGATGACAACGCCTGTGCGCTCGACTGGGCAAAGGGCTGCGAACTGGCGTACGGCGCACTCTTCCACGAGCTTGGTGAGGGCGTATCTTTGACCACGTGTCAGTTGCAAAGCCAGAAGGGAGGATAGGAGTGCAAATCTCACCTCGAGTCCATGTTGGCCCGCTTCTGGTCATTGAGCCCGTCAAAGATGACACCATTGCGGCTCTTGTCCATCTCGCCCTTGACGATGTACCCAAGGACACTGACGATGAAGACGAGAGTGGGCTTGATGTTGTACTTGCTGGCACACTCTTTAAGTTTAGGCATCATGAGCGCGCCGAGAAACAAGGTGCTGATGACGTTGACAAATATGCTCGTCTCCATGCCCTCAGACTGCGACCACACGTCGGTCATGATGCCTGCGTTGCAGATGAAGCCGTCGATCCTGTCGAGCTCGTCTGTAATCTTTTCGACGAAGCTCTGAACAGATGCGTAGGTCGACATGTCTATATGCCGTACCTTTATATATAGAGGTCAACCTTTGTTAGTCCTGGATACCTTGCAGTAGACGTACCTGAATAACTCCCTTGCGGCCAGTCGTCTTCTCAATATCATTCTTGGCAACTTCTCCGGCCTTGAGATTTCGCACGGCCAGCACGACGCACTCGGCCGACGCCGCGACAAGGTGTCGCGCCGTCTCGAGGCCCAGGCCAGAGTTGCCGCCGGTGATGACATAGGTCTTGCCAATGCACGTCTCCTCGTCTACCAGAATCGGCAGCTTCTGGTACTGCTCGGCGGCCAATCGGAGCATCACCATCTTGGAGGTATAGGTATGCAAACTTCAATGGAATAGCTGAATCGGATGAAAGCTGTGAAGTCTTGAGACACAATGTAATAATAAGTAATAAAAAACTCCTCTTCTCCAAGGAGGGCCTCTTATTCCCTTTTATATTCCTCAGTACATGTAGGCCCACGTCTTATTGTCTCTTTCTCAGCAATCCCAGGCTCAGAGCCATCATAATGCTACAACCACGACCGGGATGCCTGAAGCTGGTCTCATAAGCCACTGAACGCTGGTGCTGGTGTCTGGCGTCCGTCTGGCCAATCAGATATTGGTTTCCCTTTTGGGAAGTCGACCATCATGCACTATGATAATCCAGCGAAAGCCCGTCTGCATTGGAGGTGCGAATTAGACCGTTCGTCCCAAGCTGTTGGTCAAAGCGGCAAGGAGGACAAGGAGCGTAGCATGGCCAGATGCTGTAAATAGTATCACCATTTCTGATCCAGAGTCTCCCAACCACCAAATCCGAAGTTCATGCAACCAATGTAAGCCTACGGCGATAAAATCAGGGGAAGTACAGCTTAAAGCCGGGAGGTAAGCAGGAAGCCAAGCTTAAATGGGCCCAGGGACGTATAATCCGAATCCTAATCCAATCCAGTGGCGGCCAACAGACCAGCGCCAGCCTGATGATCATAGTGTCTGCCTCCTGGATCCATATCATTTATTGTCTCACTGTGCTTAAGAAATTCGTGTTTGTCTTGTTTGTTCTGTTTACAATGCAAGCGCATTATCTCACTTGTTGTAGATGCTGAGCTCTTCGTCCAGTCGCCTGAGAATTGATGACTCTCTCGCGTAACCACTTTCTCTTCCTCTCAATTCAAGGATCGCCTGTCATTTGAGAAACTATCCCGATTTCTCTTCGAACACAACAGACGATGGAGCAAAGTTGCTATGCCGCCTTAGAGCGGGACCAAACTTGATAAAAGCCAGCGGAATGGGAATCATGATGAACGCCAAGCACCCCAATAACGTTCCAGCCCATTGCACTCCAAGGTTCGTAAAGAGCTGGCGAGAAAAGAGGGGGAAACCCGCGCCGACAGCTGATCGAAGGATGGTGTTGGCGGCGAAGACCGATGCCGCACTGGGTACACATTAGCACACGACTCACGCGCATCGGGCATGTACTCACAATTGAAGGTACGAATCGATCAAGTAGTTAAAGCACTGCAGGAATATGACATAGATTCCGAAACCGGTGAATACCCCCGAAGCCGTGGGAGCCATCCAGTGGATCGAGCGTGTCCAGCCCGTCCAGCCGAACCAGAACAAGCCGATTGTGAACGCCATACCGCCGACGATGGCCGGTGGTAGTCGCCATTCTGGAACTGGAATGTCGTTGTTATTGCGCAATTTGCGCACATAATACCTGGCGTCAATCAAGCAATACATTCCGCCAGCGAACTCGCCTATGATCAGGCCGATGAACGGCAGGCCACCCACGCCCAGGTTCATTCTGTGGATGCGTTGGAACACGACAGGATAGGCTCCGAGCAGTGCATACAGGATCCCGTATATGAAAGACATGTAGATTGTGATGAGGAGCACGATGGGCTCGGTCAGAAGCATGCGAATCGGCCGACTGAAGTTGTTTGTGATCAGGTCATTAATGTCAAGCTCGACCTCCTCCTGCTTTGCGTGGATTCCCCAATTGTGTGTCTGACGCCTCAGAGTTGCTGCTTTCTCCATCAGAACTACCGGAGCATATGTTTCCTTGTAGAAGAAGATCAGGAGGACGACACCGAAGAACCCCATGATGGCGGAAATGTACATGGTCCATCGCCAACCCAGGTAACTCATTGTGATGAAACCTCCAGTGAAAGGGGACGCGAAGGGGCCAACGAAGACGGCCATTGCAAACATGGCAATCGCTATACCTCTCTGACTATTGTTGTACATGTCAGCAAAGGCAGCCGGCACGATGGCAAAGGGACTGGCGGAGAAGAGCCCCGCAAAGAAGCGAGTGATGAAAATGGTCTGCGTGTCCTTTGCCGTTGCAGTCCCAATGGTGAAGATACTATATCCGAGCATTCCTATCGTGATCGGCCACCGTCTACCGATCAGCTCTGAGGCAGGGGCCCATATTGTTGGTCCCGCGGCAAATCCAAGCACGTAAAGAGTGATTCCTAACGTGCCAACTTCTGTGCTAATGCTGAACTTCTCCGAGACGACGCCGATAGCAGATGAGAAGATGGCGCTGGCAAACGATGCAGTGAAGGTGATGTAGGCTAGGATGGCGGACAGGAGCACCCTTCGTTTGGCAAGCAGCTATCAGCGTCGCATTCCCACTGAGTTCCATGCCAACTTACTTTTTAGACATCGGCCAGTTATGCGGGTGCATTGGGTCATCTGCTCCGGTAAATCCAACAACGTATTTGTCCGGATCGGGTAGGAGGGGAGGATAGTCCTTCCCGTCGCCAAACGGAAGCCATTCTTCTCGAGGCGCTGGTCCTGCAGAGGAGCCGACCGTTGATCTCTGTGTCAGACGAAGACTTTCGACTCGAGCGAGATCGATATTCGTCTGACGCCGACTGACAGGCTCCGAGCGGATATCCTCGAAGGTGGGAGCCTCTTCCAGGTCGGAGGTTCCGGATGAGTGGCTACTGGCTCTTACATTGGAAGACGACATTTTGTACAGCTGTGCAGTTTGCGAATTATGTGCAGAGTCTGGGATTTAGCAGGTCTACATCGCGATCAAGGTGTTCGGTCACTTTGAGACTTGATGTCATCGACGCCGGGGCATCCACGGTTGATTCCAGCGGCTCGGAATACTTATCCACACTTTCAGTAGTCATGGTTGATTGGTTCCAGAAAGTAGATGCGACTGAATCGGCAATTGTTTCAATGTTGAATCGGCAATTGTTTCAAGGTTGGTTTATAAAGAGATCAAGTGCGGAAAAGCAATGTTGAGGTTCATGATGCATGATGTCATCCAAGTCGACCTCGGGTGTTGCAGCATCATGAACAACACTCTTGGTATTATTTATGAATATTGATACTAACTCATTGGCAAGGCTACATCTTGTTTTGTCAGCTACAATCTTCTTCAATCGGCGCGGTTGTGTGCTTCATATTCTCTGACTGGCCCCAGCCCTAGCTGACCCCCGCCAGCAAGGATCGAATATCATGATTCATGACACATCCATCTGATTTGGTTCTGTATACCAATGCTTAGTGGGGGGATAAGCACTAAATACAGAGCCATGACTCAGGTGAAGGCGCACTAGGCTCATCATGTCAGCTAATATCTACTTGCCGAGGAACGGAATGAGTCCGAACTTGGCCAACAGCAACAGCTACCCCGCATGGTGAGATTCCTTTGTCCTCATCCTTCATTCTCTTCATCAACATCTGTCTGAAAGCCAAATCACAATGGCACAAGTTCAAGGCACTTGCCATCCGGCCTTCTCCTCCCTCAAAGCCATCTTTGAGGAGAACCTCGCTTCCGGCGAGGAACTCGGCGCCGACATCTGCGTTAACATCAACGGGGAGACCGTCGTCGACCTCTGGGGCGGGTACGCAGACACTGCGCGCACAAAGCCCTGGACCAGGGACACAATCACACCCGTCTGGTCCGTCTCCAAGATCATCACCAACCTCTCCGCACTTCTCCTCATCGACCGCGGCCAGCTCGACCCCTACGCCAAAGTCGCCCAGTACTGGCCCGAGTTCGCCGCGAACGGCAAGCAGGACATCGAGGTCCGCCATCT